TGGTCTCAGTAGAGTACATAAAACTTGAGTCATTCCCGTTTTGTTTTCATATTCTACCCCTTTCTGTAGTCATATAATACTCGTAGTGAAACAGTACTATCGGGATGCAGATCATAAACTGCTTGATTTTTGAAGGCAAATAGTAACCCCACCTTTGCAGAAGTCGGTGAAAAGGAGAGAAAAACTCAGCGAATATTTGTACAAGGAACAAATGTTGAGATCGGGGAAATGCGGGGATAAGCCATCAATCCCTTTCGGGTAATCCTATGCGTCCCTATATACAGACGAAGTACAAAAACTTCTAGAAACTCATTGAGTTAAAGTCACGGCACGGCGACCGCACCAATCACCGGCCCGTATCTAGCACCGGCCGCCGGCCCGGTTGGGGCTGTGATTGGTTCGCTTGGCCGACATCTTGACTTTTTGGGCCAGCGATCTATAAATGTCGATGTTGCTTGATTTCTTGATAAGATGTTGGCATTACATTATAGAATACTGGGGATATATCTATAGAGGGGTTTCTTCTTCTCTTCCGCTCCTTTCATCCCCAGTGCACCCTAACTCAACCCTAACTTGTTCCATTGATCAGCGATCCACAGTAAGTTGTCTAATCCAATGGAATGCCCCGCGGTGAATTTGTTTCATCTAACAGTGGTACTCCGATTAGATTACAGCTTTACCGAATCTTGTCCGGTCCTGTCTCTGCATCATAAACGCAGCAGACTGTCAGACGGTCACGAACAGATTATGATAGCTTTGTCTGCTTGAACCATACCGAGAACACGATAAACCATGACACAGAAAGTCCAAGAGCAGGCTATGCCATTTGGTATCCAGCACACCAAAAGCCGGATGGCGGAACTATTGGCGGCCGATGTACTCATTGCTGCGGGTTCAGCAACCTTGATAACGCCAGCGGTGATGATCTTTGACAGGTAGGTCAAGGCAGACTCCGTCTTATCAACAGTACTGACCAATATCACTCAGACTCGTCGTTGAAAAGTCGTTCTACAACCAACCTCTCTTCCCAGCATTCCGCAGACACCTCTGGTTCTCTATCACACAACCTGCAACTTTCTTAACATCACGACCAAGTCTCCTCGTCTGGTCCCTTTACACTGCAACCTTCGCCACAGCCAATGCTTCAGAGACCATCCTGAGCAAGTGGTACCCGAAGATCGACCATGCTATTGCAGGCATGACCACATTCGCTTCAACATTTATAGTAAACTCCTCCGTGGGCATCTGGAAGGACGTGAAATTCGCCCAATTATTTGGCCATGGTAACACTTCCGTGGCAGCCACCAACAATACAACTACACCAAGCCCAACTCCAACTCCAACCCCGACATCCACCTCCACCTCCAACACAACCTCAACTTCTAAAACGGCTCGCTCGATTGGCCGTACCCGCATTCCAGTAGCAACATACTCAGCCTTCCTTGTCCGGGATGCCCTCACAATCTTTGGCTCCTTCAGCCTTCCCGCCATGGTCTCAACATCGATCCCAGACTCCGTGGCCTCGCAAGAATACCTCAAGATCTTGATCGCGCAGCTCGCTATCCCGGCCTCCATCCAACTCATCAGCACTCCAATTCACCTGCTCGGCCTAGATTTATACAACCGGCCACAGGTGATGCCGACTAAAGACCGGATCAACCGTGTCAGTCGCGACTGGATTAGCGCGTCACTGCTACGCATGTGCCGGATTATCCCCGCTTTCGGAATTGGCGGGTTCGTCAATACAGAGGGCCGGCTTTACTTGCATGATCAACTTGATGATCGACGGAAGGGATCTTGAGGTTTCCCTTGAATTATAAATATAAATATACAGATACAGACATAGACAAATATACCCTTTCTTTTTCTTATTTACTTTGAAATGTTCTTGTGTGTGCCTTATACCCTATCGGTCTCCCCCACTCCCGATATCACCGGGCCGGTTCTAGGCGGTTCAATTCGGGATCGGCAGAGGACACAAACGTGAATTTTGGATCTTTTGATTACGTTTTTTTTTTTTTTTTTCGTTCGGGGTTTTCTCGCTTGAAATTTGGCAATGGGGGTTGTTCATGTCCGACTGCGTAATTTGTAGAGATATTACCGCTTTTGGAGTCCGATGGCGGTGCCGATGCCGGTTGAGAGTATACCGCTGATTTGACTGATCTAAAATGGTGTGTTTTGAAAATAGCTTGAAAATCAGGTTGGGAGAACAGATATTCTATCTAAACCGAGGTCCCTGTGCATAACATTTGAGGTAAAATAGAAAGACACTTGAGCAAATGCATAAATCCAGTTTCTTGAGCTCATTACATGAAAGTTAGATAACAACCATGAATCACTTGTTGCCTGATCAAGGAAACAAGAACTCTTGTCCTCCCCCGTCTTGTAGCCGTATAATTCAGTTGGTACCGGTAACAATTCTTGCAGAATGCGATGGTGCCGAACCTGAAAGCGATCCAACAGTTCGCTGCCAATTGAGGTATAGTGGGGGATATTTGCTGATCCTCAACATGAAGATCTACCGTGGACAAGTCTAAGAGAAAACTATGTAGGTTTTTTGAGAGGAAAGATACCATCTAGAGTTGCAGAGACTATATATGCTTGAGAGCAAACCGCCCGGCCTATCTCTCAACACAGTTGTACTAGAAAGTAGAACTAAGATCAGTTTCTAGGGCTTGTAATGATCCAAAAGTGGGGACCAAGATACTGGCCAACTACATATGCAGGGCCTCCAATAGTTCGTCAGAGGAGGTTATAGCTAAACCTAGTATATAGAAATGGTGGAGCCAGGGGACATCTATTGACAGGAATGTCAATCAAACCTCGGGCGATCTATAGCAGATACGAGGTCCCTAAAATGGATATGTTATGTTTTGGAGAGCTTTTTCACTGCACACATCACCGGGTTGCACGCAGAACCCAGTGAGATATTATTGCAAAACAGCAGACCTCGTGTTGTGTAACAAACTGGAAAGTCACTATATGACCGTTAACTACCCCAAAGCCATTAGTATGTTTTCGTATATTATACTCTGCTTTGTGGTGGCAAAGGTCAACCTACTATGAATCTATGTGGTGGGCAGATTATCTACACCGATGTAGAAAGACGGCTGGTTTAATATAGGCTAGAACGTATCTCCACATCTACATTCAGCGATGGCTTATTTGAGTCGGAGAAATGAGTCTTTATCAGTTGAAGGCTCGTCATGTTTCAGAAGTAGCCACATAGCCACAGAGCGATGAGACTATGGCACTCCGATATGTCTATCTATACCGGATGAAAATAAATTTTCTCCCGGGCTGGCTTTTGGGGCAATGTAGCATGCTCGAAAGCACATTTGCTTCCCCTGTGTCCAATTTGGTCGCTCCTGGTTATTCGGAAGAATGACTGGATGTGCGTAGGGGCATCGCGGGTTATCCGCTAGCTGATCACCGATCCGAATCAGCCTCAGTGGCGAAGTCAAAGCTTGACCTACAGGCGCGAAGCGAATGCTGGTCGGTGCGTTGTCGGAGACGGGTGGGTTGGGCCACTTCGGGTGGTGATCATGTCACGCATAACAGATGATATCGCGACGCTGTGGGATGGATCAAATTGGCCATCTGGCTTGGTGGTGGAGTCTTATAGAAGTAGCAATACAGCCAAGCTCATCGAACGTCGGTGTCCATGGCCTCGGTTCCAGAGACGCGGCCTTTGGATCCTGCGCTGGTAGCCAAAGAGTCTGCATGGCTGAAGTCATGCAAGGCATGGCTCGGGTCAATGAAGGATGGGTACTGCCCGCCAGCAGTATTGAAAGATGAAGATCTCCACATGTGCTGGTGGGCGATATTAACCAGTTTGCCGAGGACTGCAATCTCGAGTTTCAGCTTGATGCTGTACAGCGTGGCCTTGAGGGTCGTTTGGTAGATATAGTAGTTCCTAAACTCGATGATCATCAACGCAATATCCATCAGGATACAAGCCACGTTGACGGCGAGCAGCTGCAAGATCGTCTTGCGACTAACATGGTCCTGATTCAAGCGCAGCATGCGATTCGTCTCCCACATATACAACCCAGAGATGATAACTTCCTGCACACAGAAGCCCGTCAGCTGCAACTTCTCCATGACATCGTACCCGTCAACCGAGGCTGCTGAGTTGGAGAAGTTGGCCGCGTATGTGAGCACGGTTGTGGGCACGTGTAGGAGGAAAATATTCGTGATGATCATAGTTCTCACCATGCGCAAAACGCGCACATTCTGGAGCACCAGGTGGAGACGCGAATACAAGACGAAGGATTGACCGGTTACCATTGTCCACCAGCCGATTGTTAACAGCGTGACGGGCACCCAAGTTGCCGATGTCAGACCGAAGAATTTGAGCAGGTAGCCAACTGAATACGGCAAGATTCCAACACTGGATATCAACATGCTCCAGAAATAGGGACCTTCATAGCGTTTGAAGGTGAGAAAGATGAGCACAACTAGCTCGATAACATTGTACCATGCGACACCGATAAATGTTGCGATCGTGATACGGACACCAATGCTATTGCCTGTGTAGCTACCGGTGATCCAGTTCCCTGGGCTGGAATCGCTAAGTGAGGACATATCCTCATTGGGAAGATCTGATATGGAAGGAAGAGAACACACGGACTTGGTTTTTTTTTTTGGGCGCGGGGTTCCCCTTATTAGCTGGGTTTCCGGCCCCAAGGGGTGCCAAGTGGGCCAGTTAAATAGTTTTTGAAATTTTAATAAAAAAGATCATCAATTTATATCCTTTGATCCACTTGCCGTCCTCAATGCTAGGGGTAGAAATATGGACTTTTATTTGCTTTTTATAACCTGATAGTCTCGAGTAAAATCTTCATGGTCACGTGTATGGCTTAATGCTTATTATATGGCCCGAGCACTTATTAGACCTCGGCTTATATGGTCAGTTCATTTCACTCGTAGAAGTATGTTGTAGTCATATAATGTCATGTTGAGAACAGGTTAAGACGAAAGTATTTCACCTCACCACCTTAAATATCCCATCTATCGTTCAAAATGTCTGCGTTCAAACCATCATTCAGGGCATCTTCGTTCCAGAAATCTTCTTGAACGAAACCACCAGTCCAGAACCACTCATCAAAATCAAAGTTCAAGTCTAGAGCGTCTGCAATATTTTCCACTCGCTGCTCCCCCAATTCGTCCTTTGGACCCTCGACAGGGGCCATGGGGCTCCCTGCCGTTGTTGCTGGTGTCAAAAGTCCCGACCCCGCATCGCCCACACCAGATGCAACAGTGCTGGGAGATTGAACTGAGCTTTCTGTCTTGCCATCGCTTACCTCCCTCTCAAACTCTACCATATACGCTCCTAGCGTAAGTCCCATCGTTCTCTTAAACACGCGACAAAGATAACTCGGCGTTACACCGACTTCTTGTGCTAACTCCTTCAAGCCTCGTCTCACTATCGTATCTTGATCATCCTGCTTGATCCGTAAAAGCGCTAGAACTCTTGTGACAACCTCCTCCCTCTCTCCAACAAAGCTCGCGTTATCCGGTTGACATCTCTTGCATGGTCGGTGGCCATCGCGTCGCGCTTGATCTTCTGTGTCATAAAACACAACATTGGCTCTTCGAGCAAGGCGTGCAGGACAGGTCGGGCGGCAGTAGATCTTGGTAGATTTGACACCGTAGAGGAATGCGGAGTGGGAGGAGGGGGTGCGGTGTGTGAGGGCACGCCAGCGAGCGTGAGAAGTTTGGAACTGATCAGAACTAATTGACCTCGAAGGTTGTGTTTGCATGTTGAGGGGCTATTTTGTGGAAGGGATATGTTAGTTGACAGTTTTCTTCCCTTGAAATACTTAATTCTCTGGGAAAGTTCATCGAGAAATGCGGGTAAGGTAAGCCTCCGCATTTGACATGGGGGACTCACCGCCCGGAAAGAGACCTGCCTCTCTTCAGAAGTCAACAACATGTAGGAATGATGCACTCTGTATGTGGCCCTGTAATACAGCTGACGCATACTGATATTGTTACTGGCGACCTGATTCTGTGTAATTGGACCCGGGTATGCGTATGGGAATATGGGAGTACCACTGTTAGATGAAACAGAGGGAAGCATGATGATTAACCACAATGTATAGAGATGGGATAACACCCACTTCACTTCACACACACCAACCCCATAGCAGCAAAATCTAAACAGACAAAACAACAACAGCATATCGAACCATCAATACAAAACAACTAACACAACAACGAAAACACAACATTAATTACAACCAAAATGTTTAGAGATGGGATAACCCCCCCCCCCCCCCCCTTTCAACAATGTTAGATAGACTTAAATAGAAACCTCGAATATCCCGCATCGAAAATGACTGGGCACTATGTAATATGATCCCTATACGTGTAAGAGACGGTCTTGTGATCCAAGTTCATTCGACCACGAGCAGCCGTCTAACAGTTAACTTTTTAGTAGCAGAAAGGGAGGTTAGCATATTGTTTTGTTTTCTCTTCTCATTTTCAAAATCTGAACTACCTAAATAGAAAAAGCCAAGAGGAAACCAATCTTCTCGATCTCCAGGTTGACCTGCTGGTGAGTTGGTATCTAGAGATCAACGAAATTAAATGTATTCTAGTACTATATAGGGCCTTGACCAAGCGCTATACCTAATCTAGCTGCAGTGCTATGACCCACGGGTACCTTGCATTGTAATTAACTGCGAATCATACGCAGGGTACTGCATAATAACCATCGTACGCCCTAAGAATGCTTAGCGTGACGTAGGGACCTCAGCCCAAGGCCGGCGTGGGCTAGGCCAGATTATAATCCATATATGTTCTGGGGTTAGAAAACTCGAATAAATAGTGGGTGGTCTGCTGTGCCAGTGTGCTCCTGAGTCATTATTTTCGAGTGATTCTCCATCTTGTGCTGTCCAGAAAAACCAGCTCTACTAACTTTACTTTTATCCATATATAAGGATGTTCATGGATTAATACTGGACGAGACAGGGCATAGCAATACATTAATGCTCAATTAAAGCAGTTCCGTATCGCATAAAAACAACCCAAATTGTAGTATATGAGTGTTCGGACTAATCTAATACATTGTTGCGAGTCTTTTTATGGTCTTTCAAAGCCAAAAATCTGGCATCCTACCACTTTACCCTCCAGTCCGTCCCTTTTACTTTGATCCTGACCCATAAAAAAGATAGAAAAGCGCCCACATAGCTGAGCCCAGCAAAAAGAGCGACTCCCCAATATTTCTCCTTTCCTGTGGCCTCCACCGCATCGAGAAGACCCCCGGCAATTGGAATACTTGCTAGTACCCCAAAAGATACTACCGTGAAACAGCTCGCGTAATATCGTCCATATTCCTGAGTTTCACAAAGTTGGCCTAGGCATATTGGCGTCAGGCTCACATTTGAACCACTGCAAAACCCGAATAGTAATATAAAGACTACCACGAGAGCGTATGAACCCAGGTCTGGTGCAAGCATATCTGGTAACCAAAAACCTAGAACTGACACTGTGCAGAACAGCAAGGAGACAATCATGGTATTGTATCTGCCAAATCGATCCGCCATGTCGCCCGCCACGTATCGGCCAACACATGAAGCAGCATTGAGAATCGCGAGAAGTTGATACGCAAATGCGGATGACCCCGTCAGTGCCTCCTCGTCGGACAGATGCTGTCGATCGATATAGTAACGTGGTATGTACGTAATCGGGATGAAGTACGCTAGATCTGTCAAAAGGACTCCGGCGGTTGTGAGTGCCATGGCTCCTGTACCATCCATGAAGATTTTATAATCTGGCAATGTATCTCGCCAGGTTGTTTCAGCTCCTTTGCGGGGGGGAACTCTGCTTCGGCAGAATGCCACGCTAATCGTGCAAAGGACAAGCAGCACAAACCCGAGGATCCGGATCGACCATCCCCAGCCAACTTGAGGAAGGAGGGATTGTATCATCAGGGGAAAAAGAACTCCGCCAAAGCCACCTCCTATAAATGCTATACCACTAGCAAGACCGCGACGTTCCATAAACCAATGCGCGACGCAGCCCATCGATGGGGTCAGAAGAAGGGATGAGCCAATACCGGTCATGATGGAGAATGACAAGAAGATCTGGTAGTATTCTATATTGTCATTAGCAAGGGAACGTCGGTATCAGTAGAGTGGATGGGTATGAGCAATTGCATATGGTATACTTTGAGAACCGATCGTACCTTTAGAGACACTGAGGGTGAAAATCCCGACCAGCGTGCAAATAGTTCCCGCAACCATTAGTGCACGCGGGCCCATTGCATCAAAGGTCGGTCCAATTTGTACTCCACAGACCCAGTTTACGAATGCGTAGACTGAGAATATCCAGCCAATAGTAGATGATGAAGCTTCTGGTAATATCACTTTGGATATAACGACTTCGAACACGCCGGATGTGTTGTAGATACCCAGCGATGAGGTCAAGCCACACCACGCACCCAATACCACCATCCAGGCGTCGCGACCACCCTCGGGGTAAGTGATGTCGATGTCGAGAGGTGCTAGGTCGGGTGTTGTGGGTAGATGTGGCAATGATTTTTCGACATCGGAAGGAGAAGAGCACTCGTTGCCAGCGAGCATCTCTTTTTTATCAGAGGCATTCGTAGCATTCATTGGGGGTGACCTTTGTTCGGACCTTGGCGACATTGTTTTGGGGTTTTTCATTTTTCAGGTCTCGGTCTGGGAATCATCTGTAGAGATGAAGGGGAGAAGGAGATAGTCTGCTGGACCAGTGGATTCGAGTTCCTTGGAAGTTTTATAGCTGAGCTTTTTCTTAATATTTCCAGAGGTATGACGACAGAGACGCTGGACACGAATTCGACTGAAGAAAGCGTTTAGAAATAAAGAAATCATAATATTATACCCGACCAGTATGTCCTGAATATGTCCAATCAGCAGTACGGAATAAGATTGATATCATAGTGACCAATCAGAGGAAACGACTAAAGGTGTACTCAAAATAGCCAATCATTAGTCTGTCTCGAGCTAGGTACAGGTACAAGTATCCAATCTCTCTGAAAACGGCGAGATCAGGCTAATTACAAAGGCAATTCTCATGCGAAATCAACACGACTTTTCGGTAAATACACATCACGATAGAGCCTCTAGTGTTCTTGGATTCTTAAGTTCTCAAATTAGTTTTCGTGTCTCCTTGGCCAGGTAGTTGACCATAAATTAGTTCGTTAGATCCTCCAGCTCTTCTAAATCAATATGTTCTCAAATTGACCAATCATCAATGAGTAACCCAAACTATGAACTCATAGTGACCAATCAGAGATATGCAAGGGTTATGTAAGGTACTCAAAATAGCCAATCATTGGTAACATAGTAAGCCACAAGAGTGGGTACATCTATGCAACATATAGCTTACATCAATATCAATCTTATGAGTATGCTAGGCCATTAACGCGAATGATTTATACTGAGTAGATTTTTATCCAATTATTAAAAGCATAACTATAAACACAATTTGTGATACTGTCTGAAATTCACCAATCTGGAACAATCTTTTTCTCATTGCCAACGACGACACTGAATGTAAAGAAATAACATTCTCACCCATTTTCAAACATATTCGTATTGCCCACAGCAGCGGGACTTTGCTCATACTACTGGCTGTATTGGCTGGCTTAACTCGCATGTCCAAGATGCACCAAGTCAATTATGCCTGCAACTTGATAGCCTTAGGCGCCTCAATAAAGCGCTCAAAAGTGCGGGCATGTTCTTCGTCTTCAACATTGTACACAATGCTGTTTTTCCATCGTTGGAACTCGAAAGCCGTGATTTCCGGATACTTTGCCGGCTCATTGATAAGGAATTTGGGCAATGGACCAACCGAGGTATTGCGCCCAGCCTTGAAGAGATAGGCCATCGACATTCGGGGTGGTATAACCAAGCCGCTCTCCCCCTTCATCGATTGGGGGGTAGTGACCTGATGGATACCTCCGGTTATCTTTCCGTTAGTCCAACGTGTCAGCGTATCGCCAACATTGACTATCATCTCCGTCGTATCAGTCGGTGGGAGGGGAACAAATGTGTTGCTGGTCCGGTCTTCGATTTCCAGGCCACCAGTGCTGTCTTGGAACAGCAAAGTGACAGGGCCAAAATCGGTATGCGGTGCAATCCGGCTTGTTCCACCCGTCTTCAGATCATCGACAGGAATTGTAGGGTAGTGAGTGAGTCGGAGATCTGTGGCGCTGGGAATGCAGCGTGCAACCAACGACCCATCATCGATGCCCCAAGCGACCTCAAGAGCCCCCATGAGTGCCAGACAAACACCGTTGCACTTGCGGTAAAATTCTTCCATGAATTCTTGGAAGCCGGATAGCTCAGGCTCCTGCGGCCATTTGTTTGGGAACTCTGTATCGTATTCAGGGCCTTGGTCGAAATGTTCCTGGGTCATCGTCATTTAGGACCTTGAGAATCTCGAAACCTATGATTTCTTTTACAAACCTTTGAATCCTTCATGATCCGGACCTTTGCATCATGGTGAAGTTTTCCAACCTCCTCAACCCTCCATGGTGTGTAACCACGCATAGGCCTAGGGCCTGTTTCATTGGGGATTCTGTTCTTCACATCCAATGGCCGATCAAAAAATTTATGGCCCTAGAAATGGTTAGTTATCATGACAATCACGAGATATATTGGAACGGGCCTCACCCAGTTGAACAACTCCGTAAGCTCTTGCGTGCTGAATGCATGGGCTTTGAGCTTTGCAAATCCAGTTCTTTCAAAGCTATCTAACAGGTCATGAGCGAATTTCTCACGCTGCTCCTTGGTGCCTGAGATGAAATGACTGTAGTTCAGGGTTGGAACGGCCATTGTGAAGTATTGTAATGAGATATCTTTTGCGTGTTGTTGGTTATCGATGTATTCAAAGAAAAGCCTTGATGCTGTGCGATGATCTGGAGATTTCTCGAGGGTTTATATAACAATTGTGACAGACTTCATGTTTGTGTTGATTCTACGTTTGCCTAGATTTGGATTCTCCAAAATCCTAGTTACTAGTGTGACAATAGATTCCGTCCTGCATATTCTGCAAGTCGATACGGCAGCCCATGGTGGCCTGATGCATTGACCTCCCGTGAATAAGTCTTCTACAGGGTTTGAAGCAAGTCGTTAACGAGGAAGTAACAAAGAACTTGTTGTCTATTGGCCACTTTTAGTTCATTCCGCAATTGCAGAATTGATCATCCCGAGATCTGGATTCTGCAAAGCCGTCATAATATGGTGTGGCAATAGATCCCGTTCTGCATATTCTGCAAGCGACCAATACAGCGCATGCTGACTTGCTGCATTGACCTGCCATAAATAAATATCCTACAGGGTTTGAAACAAACCATTGGTGGGGAAGCAACAAAGGAATTGTTGTCGATTGGCCACTTTTAGTACATTCCAAGCTTGCAGAATTGATCGTCCCGAGCGAGATAGAGAGCTGAAGAATTGCTAGTTTCCTCTTATTCTGACATAATCCTATTGCTTGTCTCCAATTAGTTACTATAAGGTCAGTGCATTGCCACTGGTTATTGACTAGTTTCAATATTTGGCACAATTTTCCAGAACAATTAGGCCTAGAATTGATTTCATATGCACGTAAGATTTGCCAATGCTCTGATATCGTATACAGTTTAACTTTTGATTGGTCAATATAAGTTCACCAATCTGTCATTCGTTACTTGATTGGGCAATTTCAGTACATATTATTAATGTGATTCGTACTCTAACATTAACTTAGTTAATGTTGAATATAATGGAGATCTGATAGTAATCTGACGTGATGTAATGTTGAAATTTAGTACTTTCGACTACCGACGCGGCTATCCCCGCCTTTTTATATTTACAACTAGTATATTACACTATACAAAATATGTGACCTATAACAGTGAAGAAACACATACCTCTACTTGGTTACTTGCAGGATATTTTGTTGGGTACTATGTATAACCTCATATTATAGCCTGGCCGCCGTATATTAACAGTGTAGAACTTGAATAATTTTGAAAGTACTATGATTGTAAAGTCATGTCAGAAAAATAAGTCAGATAAAGGCAAACCGGATGGTAGGTACCAGGCAACCATGCTTCCAACAATGCAATGTACTGGAAATGCCCAACCAAAATTGGAAATTAATAAAATATTGACGGGTAGAATAAGCGGGTGTTTACGTTCACATGGTACTATTCTACTAGATCACTTCAATATTTCAAAAGGAAATGTATAAGTTACGTGATATCCGAGAAATTCCTGGTAGAATATTGGCTATAGTTCTTGTGCATGATATCTGAGGGATATGACATCAGCCTAGAATACAAAGCTAAACGAAAATACTACATTGAAGATCACAGTAGATCAGAAGCCCAGAACTAGAGTGGCGGAGTATCGCCAAGCACGCTATCCATCATTCTGAAATAATATTAGCAACACGTCCACATAAATTACAAAGACAAACTCACATATCAGGATACCGCGCTCCAGGAATCTCAGTCCGCTCGATCAACGTCCGGATATCTTGCAACTCCATATCCGTCAATTTAAGCGAGATGGAATTGGTATTCTCATCAAGATTCTTGATCGACTTTGTTCCGGGAATAGGAATGATGTCAGGGCCCTGAGCAAGAAGCCATGCAATAGCAACTTGGGCAGGAGTGCTGCCGTGGTTATTCGCAACATTTTTCAATCCCTGAACTAGCTCGTGGATCTTTGCGAAGTTTTCCTGTGCGTACTTGGGGAGCATGCGGCGGAAATCATTTTCGGGAATATCCGAGAATGATTGGATCTGTCCAGTCAAAATGCCTCGCCCGACAGGACTGTAGGCAATGACAGCGATACCGAGCTCATGGCAGGTAGTCAAAATATCAGTGGTGGACCATTCGATGTCCACAGCGAACGGACTGTATTCCACCTGGTACGCTGCAATGGGGTGGACAGCATGAGCACGGCGCAGGGTTGCAGCTGAACATTCAGATAATCCAAGATGATTAATCTTGCCTTGCCTAGCAGTGTATTAGCGACAGGGCTTCTTGATCTGAAGGAGTATGGCTTACTTCTTCAGCTCAACCATAGCCTCGATGGTCTTCTCAATAGGCGTTATGCCATCAACCCGATGGCAGTAGTAAAGATCAATTGTGTCAACCCCGAGCTTCTTCAAACTTTTCTCACAAGAAGCCTTGACATACTCGGGGTCAGAACGAACTGTCTGAACACCCTTGGCCATATCGAATTGGATCGCAAATTTGGTGGCCAGGAAGATATCCTTGCGGTTTCCTGATCTCTTTACCCACTCTCCCACTGCATCTTCGCTGTCAAAATACAAGTCGGCCGTATCCCAGAATCGTGCACCGATCGAATGGGCATGCTCGAGGAAGGCTACCTTGTCCTCGAGGGAACCAGCAGGCCCGTAGATGCTGCCAATGCTCATCAGCCCAAGACCAATTGCAGGAACTTGAGGGCCATTACGGCCAAGGGATCGAGTTGGAAGAGACATGGCTAGAATGATATCAAGGATAATTGGAAGATGTAAATAGTAGAAGTAAAATCTTAAGGATTGTTGTGAAAGATAAACATATCCAGGTATAACCGGGTCTATTTATATTTCTACACTGTTAGTCTATTTAATCCTAACTCCGAATATCATTGAATTCATCCGTCAGAGTCCAGTACAAAGGGCGTTATTCGCAACATCCAAGTAGATTTATAGATGTGGGTCTTAGATAGCCAGCCAATCAAAATACTTCAAAAGCGAGCACACCAATCAGATCCCAGCGCATTTAAAGATTAACTCCGATAATCTGCCAACTTAGAATTCCCCGGTGAGACCTCGGGACATTACCTACTTCCTTTATGCCTCAACTGATTCTACCTTGAGATTATATTCCCATATTCTCAACTGCTGACATGCACGCCCCATTACCCCATAAAAAGGCTAAAACAGGCTGCAAGACCTGTAAGTAAGTATTTACCCATCCTCATTCTAGCACTTCCTAACTAGATCAAGAATCCGCCGGGTCAAATGTGACGAAGGCCGACCAGCTTGTCAGCGCTGTGTATCAACCAGTCGAATCTGCGATGGCTATGGCATATGGGGAGGAGGCGGCAGTCCCTACGGGCAGCCACATAGTAATCGTGCTCTATCAACCTACTGCACACCTGTTCCAGCTGGCAACCTCAGCCACGAGGAACAGCTGTGCTTTGACTGGCTGATCAAACGAACAGCAAAGAAGTTTGCCGGCTTTTTTCCATCTGACTTCTGGGAGAGCTTGATTTTCCAAGCGAGCGCCCAGGAACCCGCTGTGCGCCACGCTGTCATCGCCTTGTCGTCTACACATCGGTTCCAGCAGCGATATGCCGCCACATCGAATAAATGCGATGAAGAGTGTTTCACTCTTCAACAATATAACAAAGCAATTCAACACCTACGCACCAACGCCACCGGCAACAGCTACTCTCTCCGAGTAGCGCTGGTTACATGTATGCTCTTTATCATCCTAGAATACATGCGCGGGCAGTATCAGATGGCGGGTGCGCATCTCCAATATGGCATGAAGCTTCTCTCCGGCATATCTGCACCAAGTCCTCCTTCATCTATGGTGCCGACCACCCTGTCTCCTACAGAAGACTTTGCCTATAACGCCCTAGTCGACGTCTATGTCCGACTGGGCATTCAATCGGCCATGTTTGGCCACGTGCCTTCACACGTGTATATTGTAACAAAAGACCCACTATCCACTAGCTTCCCTTATACATTCAACTCGCTCCTAGAAGCAAGACGCAGCCTAGATGATCTTCTGAACAGAATCCACTGTCTGAAAAAGCATTACCACGACCACCACACATCCCAGGCATCAACCAGCAAGCAACAAATGCTCAACACACAAAGCAGAATTCTCGCAGACCTATCCCTCTGGGGTAAAACATACACCGTCTCACTCGCACGTCTGGAAACCAACAAGATATCAGGAAAACACCACATCGCCTACCTCCTCCTACGAGTGCACCACGAAATGGCTGTAATAATGGCCTCGGTCTGTCTCTCGCCCGAAGAAACCGATACTGAGCTGATTTTTGACTCTTACACGGAGAACTTCATCAGAATAATGTCCAGCTTTCTCGACATATGGAAAACCTGGACCTCAATAGTTTTCCGCGAAGAAGATTTCTTAAAGCTAGCTAACGCACCCGAAGACATAAAATCCATCTTCCAAGACTTCAAGACAATGTCCGACATGGACGCGATTCTGGAAGCTTCTCTACTAGAACTCTTCGAAAAATCCTCCATAGTCAACCACTACCTGAAGAAACCAGACTGTGGCACTAACGGGTTCACCGTTGAGATGGGGTATATCCCACCCGTATACTATACGGCTCTTAAATGTCGTGTTCCGCGGCTCCGGCGGCAGGCTGTGAGGGCGTTGAGGGCTGCGCCGCATCGGGAGGGGCTGTGGAATGGTTCGCTTTTGGCAAATGTTATGGAGGAGATTATTAGGGTTGAAGAGGGGGATTTTTACGCTGGTGATGTCCGTGTTAATTCATCTGCTGGGCATATTATACCTAGTGATGAAGATTTGCTTGTGCCGAAGGTGCCGGCTGAGGCGAGGGTCTCGGACGTGAGGGTTCTACTGCCGGACGATATTTCTGGCCATACTTATGTTAGCTATCGGAGAAGGATTGCAGGTGGTGAGTGGATGACTTTCAAGCGGAAGATTGGTGTATAGTTGGTGCAGCAGACATTGCAATGATGATGTGCGTCTGTCACCTGCGCCTGGGACTTTTATTATAAGTCAGATGGAAGGTGTGGATGTATATGTATCAGGCCCTGGCTTTCTTTCCATTGGAAGTCAACTCTGTTCTCTTTTGATCATAATCTTCTTTCGTTCCTTATTGTACAATTTTTATATTGAAGCCGTGTATACGGCCATTGGTCATGATTTCGTAACATGCTTTCCAGTAGGTATCCATAACACCGCCCACAGATATTGTTTCCTCATCTTCGGCCGAAGTCCCATGCCTTGCATAACGATGCTACTTCCCGCCTACCTTTTGACTTCGCAAAAACGCAGCCACCTGCTCATGTCTTGTGACAAAGAACATGCGCTTCCTATCTGACTTCCAAACCAAAACACCAATCTCCGCAGCATACTGGCAAGGAGCCTGGTATTCGGCCAAGCTGGTGAAATCCTTGAACAAGAAGCCAGCCGTGGCCCGGAGACGATCCCGCTCCAGCTGCCACAGTCTAATCTGATCTGTCACGGTAGGCGGGAGCACAGACGCCGGGACACCCTTGCCGTTGGACTGAGCAGCACTGTGTTTCCGCAGCTGTGGGTGCGCGTGTGATAATAAGTATGAGATGATTTGATCGGCAGTGATTCCCATCTCGATGGCTCGGCGGACAGACTGTCTCGTGATTTTGCCAGTGACTAGATTGGGGAAGCGGTATTTGAGGTTTGTGAAAAGAGAGATGAGGGATATTTGTAGGGGTGACGAGGTGTAAGCATAGAGTCGGTAGTTGGTTTCGATGATAATGAACCCCGAGCCAGTGCCACCAGACGGCCCCACTGGCCCAGTAAGAGAGCCCGTGACAGGGTTGCTCAAGGCGCTCGAGTCGGATGTAAGTGTAGTTGCGAGACGCGTGGGATAAAAGCGTGTCGCGTCGGCGTCTTCCTGGTAGACAATACCAAAATCGGCAAGGTCTGTGAGAGTGCGAAGTTGGTTGGGTGTCATGTGGCTCTTGTCGTAAGACGACCCAAGTTCCAGGCTGCTTAGAAGGAACAGGAACGAGAGAACCTCGACGCTGTCCATTCCAATGGCCTCAGCGCTCTCGACATAAAGAATCAAGATGTGCCAGACCTGGGTGTTCACATCCTGAAGCACAAATCCAAACCCGTCTTTGGTGATGTCGACACGATTGCCTCGGATCTCAACTAGGTGTCCCGCTTGGAGAAGTTGTTTGACACCCTTGCTCAAATTGACCGTGTCGCGTTGTCCACTCAAGGCACTTGTTCCAACCATGTACCCCATAACACCTTCCCACTGTCGTCTAGCATATTCGTCTAAATCGGCAATTGAGGTCAGGGTGTGTTCTGGAGCTTGGGAAAATACACCGAAAGATTGGGAGTCCTCGGCACCCGTCAGGGCTTGTCGAAGTGAAGCAGCGAATGGGTTGGTGACCATGTACGCGCGGACATTTTCGCCCGTGAGGGTGGTAGATAGAATGTGAAGTCGACCCAAAATTGAAAGTGCATTATCCCGTTCCCTTGTGTGAAGACGGTCAGTAATGACTGGAGCCAGACCCATAAGATAAGCCACTCACTTCTTGCTCTCTGAATTGACCCAAACTTCCAGATCAGCCGTTGGAAGAGGGTCTTTTAAGTAGAGTAGAGCCATCACAAAGCATTTTGCTATATTCACTGTTAGTGCAACGTTCCGTTCCGTGTGAGCGAGCTCAATGTACCTAGATCGGGCAGCATGCGCCTGAAGATCGCAAGGGCTGTGGATGGTTGCTGGTATAATTTATAAAAAGTCGTCCCGGGAAGCCCCTCCAGGTACTCCAGGGGACGGGATGTTGCACTCGCCATACTGAGCTGTGAGAAACGAAGTTCTCAAGCAACTGAGGAGAATAAGGTGTCTGGGTGAAGTGGTTGAATGAAATGACGCTGGTACGGTGGCCGAAGCGGCCACAAAGTGCAGCTCCGGGATGCACCCAAATCGCCGGGTCAAGTACGTTGGACTTGGTCCCTATATAACCCCATTCATCTCCACATTTGTTACTTCTGAGATATGGCCTCTCTTAGATTTGTTCGCTCAGTAATTATTAGTTTTACCTCCTATCATTCACTGCTTTACTAATGCATATCGCTATCTATAGGTGTGGGAGTCCTTCCGAGCTACCTCGGGCCTGGAGCCTCGGTATGTAATGCGTCCCAACTTGCTTCTATCTGAGATATTAGAGAAGAACTAACATCTCAACTCAATTTTACAACAGGCTGTTAAATAATGTAAGTTAGATTCAGTGTCCTATTTATACTAAGAAGTATCACTAACATCTACTATAGCTCCGTGTTACAGCAGCCAGGCCCGGTGTAGTCAACTTTGAGCTGGATATTCAGAAGGAGCATACAGTATGTCCCTTTCTGATGCAGTGCCCTCAGCAAATATCTTTGGGAATCTTCTTAAAGACTCAGATTCTCACATGGATTGGTCGTCTCTGACAACTATATCATTTAGAACCGCTTGAACATCCTCCATGGAGGCACCATTGCGAGCATGGGTAGGAGGTCCTTATATGTGATACAAAAGCTGTGATACTTGGCTAAAATCTGCTATAGTTGATCTCGGAGGCTCATTGGCTGTAGCATCTCGTGGCTTGTTCGCAACGGGTGTGTCAACGGACCTAAATGGTAAGTCTATAAGGTACACATATCACATCTGAATCATTTCTAATCAAATCCTCTCAAGTCACATACTTGAACTCAGGTGGCAAAGTCGGTGACCGAATCTTGGCTGTATGTCTTTCTCCATCTTGTTATTTTCTATCTCTATCTTCCTAAACGGGTACTAACTTTGGGCGTTAGGAGGTGACTTGTGATAAATGTATGTTCCCTGACTTTACATATTTTTTGTTTTTATATATTGGCCACCAACTAACTAGCTACGCTTAGTTGGCAAGACCCTTGCTTTCACGAATATCAAGTTCACGAACCCCGACGGTCATGTTGTTGCCCGTGGAAGCCACACGAAGTGCGTACCCTATCCTCGCGCTGATATAAGACTACTAATATCATTTAGGTATGTGGCCCAGGCTTGGAAGGATCCAAATAATATTGTGGAGGAAATCAACAAGCACAAGGACCAATGAGAGCGATATTGGGTGTTATGATCGATGAAACTGGAGCTCCTTTGAGTCATTTGAGAAAGATGGCCGGAGAAAAGTAAGGAGTCGACATTGCAGCAAATCTGTGTTATCATAGAGGACAGATTACAGAGCATAACGACAGGTCTGTTCATATCCCTCAAATTATACTATACCATTCTGCCTTGAGACCAGAAATTTGATATTCATTTCCTTTACCAAATGCTACAATGTAGTAGATGTCCATATAATCTTAACCCAACTGCTCATTCAAGGGGCTTCTCGGAATACAAAGAAGCGAAAAAACATGGAATCCGAACAAACTCCTTTATTGGGTACTGCTGTGTCACATTTTGACTTGGAAAACGACTTCATACAATAACTTCAAACATCCCCATCATCAGACCCCATAGCCTCATCCTCATCCAGATAGCTATCTTCGCCAGCCGGAGCCGCATCCTCAATAGTGATATCTCCATCACCCATAGCCTTGATCTTGGCCTGCGTCATCTCAAACACATATTGTCCAAGATGTTCCACGCTCTCCATCGGCGTGCCCTCAATAACGGCGTTAGCTTCCCGTGACGACGGGAACATCTCGCCGGGCGCGAGCATGAGCTTATCTGGCCGTTGCAGGAGAAGGTCAAATGCGGGCTTGAGTTCATAGCACGATTCGAAGACTTCCCGTCGGCCGAGGATATACAGGCCCAGTCGTGCACGGGAGAGAGCAACAGTCAGACGACGGACGTCGCGCAGGTATCCGACGCTGCGAGTTCGGGTGAGAGAAAGGATTACGTCTAGAAAATTATTAGCAATTCCGATATTTTAAGAGACCTAAATACGCTTTGAGAGGAAGTCAACTCACAATCATTCTGCTCTCCCTGGTAGCGATCCACCGTGGTCACAATCTTGGGCATTCCAAACATGGGGTTCTTGCCACAGCGGTGACTCAATACATCCCGGATCAAAGCTGTCTGCCCAGCATATGTGGCTAAGATCGAGATTTTAGACGCAGGGTATCCCAAGAGTCGCATGTACTGATACATGGCCACTGCGTACTCCGCTTCACCTAAATTCTGGATAAAGTGAGGTGTCGGCTCTCGCTCTCCAGAGCCCTGGTAGTCGGGGACATTGATGAACTGGTAGTCGAACTGTAAGCCAGCATTTGCCTGCTGGTACTCAGGGGCAGTTTCAACCACTGGAAGGTTTCCGAGTTCCTTGTACCGCCAGCGGAAGAGCTCTGCAATGCTAGGTCGTGCGCGACCCTGCTTGTCCAAGTTGATCACTGGGACACCAAGTCGTGCCAGTCGCAAGAAGAGACTTTGCTCGAAGTGGGCATATTGACGGAAAGCCATGTTCTGGATGATGGGTGAGTTCTGATGGTGATCACCACAGAGAACAACACGCTTGAGAGGAAGTTCACCGTTCTTCATGTTTTGAAGGGCGTTGGGGATGAAACTCTCAACTTCAGTAATCTGCGCGGCTTCTTCCATGACCACGTTGTCGTAGTGGAAGCCTAGATCGGCAATTTCTTGCCGGCGCATAGCTGCGTGGGTCGAGGTCATCGCGATAATCCGGGCCTCCTTTACGAGGAGATAGTTCGCTTTATCGCGAGGTTGTCTCAATATCTCGAATGGTCGGATATCTTCCAACTCGGTGAAGATTCGAGCAATGTGACGTTGGCACCCTACGGCAGTGTCGATGATCGCCTCCTTCGTGGCTTCAGCTTCGAATAAGGGCTGGGGAGCATTTGCAAAGTATGATTGGAACGGGAAGGATGCGACAATCTCTTCGTTTGATGTTCCTTCGGAATTGGCTCGATCCCAGAATTTAGCCCATGCTGGCTGCACGTAAACTGTATTGAAATAGCCTGCAGTCTCGCATGAATTTCCATGTGCACCCTCGACCCCAAGCGATGCTGCCAAGCGCATCACTTCTGATAAGTAGTGATTGCGATTATCAAGGAAGGATTCCACTCGTCCATATTTGCTATAGTTGGAATCGGTGCCCAATTCTTCCTCGCCGTGACCCAGTCGCAACAAGTGCCGTTCATCGATATCAAGGGCAATGATTTTCTGGAATAGTTGATTGAGGGCTTGATTGCTGTGGGCAATGAGTAGCGTCCGTTCATTGGGGAAGTTGTGGTAAATGTTGTTGATTATTTGGGTGGTGACATCAGTCTTTCCAGTACCAGGTGGTCCCACAATAACAGTGAGCCCAGGCTGTGTTCCAGATGCGATAGCTTCCACTTGAGCGGGGGTGAATCGGATTTTGTTCAATTTAGGAGCGTCAACGGGGTAGGGACCAGGGTTTGGTGGCTTGTATGTGGAAACACGCATACTGCTCGGCGCCACTGTCTCTGCTTGCTCCCGGCGTCGCTTCTTCGGCGCATGAGGCTCTGCTGCAGACTCTTGATTAACATATTCAATAACGTAGGGTGGGCCAAAGCTGGCATTCTCAGCCCCCGAAGGTTCAATGCCCGGGAAGCTTTCCACCAAATGAGACCAGTCCAAAAATGTGTCTCGGAAGTCAACAGTGCTAAGTCGGTTTGGCAGCTGCGTGTATTGAGCACTAGCGGGATCTCCGTAGCCCAGGAAGATGTCCTGGAGCCAGGAAGGAAGCGTCATATCGGAGACAATAAGCTTTTGCATAGTCTGCAAAATTGACTTGAAGTTATTCTCTCTGCCCTTTCTCCGTGCAACCACGTTGATGAGGGGGTAAATGTCCGCTTTTCCGTGGGCCTGCTGGTCCTTGTCGGCTTTGAATGCAGCCGCATCCAAGTTTACGATCAATCTCCTCGATCGTGCTCTGGATTGAGAGCCATTTGCCTGGCCAGGGTATTGTCTCAATGCGCGGCCTTGCTCGTCAAGGACCTGTACGATCTCAGCCGTTCGAAGATGGATCATCCGAGGAGCTTCAGATGCACCTTGTTCTGACTGCGATGTGGGCTGGACCGCCAAAAGATAGACGACGTCATCAGGACGGAGTGAGTCCCATTCTCTCCTAACATTATCTGCAAGCCTTCCCACCTCTATCGCAATCTCTGCTCGAACAAAAGCCGGGTTTGTTGCTCCGACCTTTGGTGGTGCGACATCAATGATAGCAGGTTTTGAGATTGGAATGGCCATTCGAGAGAATCCCTCGAAGTTTATGGTTCCATCGCGCGCTGCCTTGGGTTGCATGCGTTTGACGATGGACTCCATGTCCTTTCGGATTTGGAAGAATGCTTCTGATCGGTAGAGAAGGAAGGAGCGCCAAAGGAAATCTCCGAGGCTCAGATACTGGAGATTCAACTTTGGGATTGCTAGGGGCCTCGATCCGTCGTATGTCTCATTCCTCAACAAGGCCGGGTCGTAGAGGGTTTCTTCCGTCGGAAGTGGACTCAACTTCTCGACAACCTCTTGGAAGGGGACCTTGCGTTGATAAAAAGATGCCAAAACTTCCAGGTAGAACTGACGGTCTGGAGTGACGTGTGAGGATTTTGGGTAGCTTGTGCGGAATCCTAGGTGAGAGCAAAGGCTTTGGAGTTCCGACTCGTCAAGAGAAGATAGCTGACCCTCTAGATCCGATCGCTGCTCAATTGACCCCATATTGGAAAGCGCAAGTATCATTAGCTTGTCTTTGAAGAACTTCATCGAGGTTCTTTGGAGCTGGGCCAATTCTTGGCAATGCAGGTCGTAAACTCCCTGCGGAGAAAGAGCCTCGCCGGAGTAATCATCAATTGCAAATTCGACAAAATGTTTGAGTAGGCTGTGGAAGTCGCGTAGAAGGGCATTATCAGGCACGTGGTAGAGTTGTGAAAGGCGAATAACCGACAGAAGGTTGAGGTCCTTCAATAACGTGTTCACGTAGCGCCTAGTGGGAAGTTGACTTTCGAGATCAACCAAGAGCTCAAGGAAACGTTCGCAGTATAGCAAGTTCTCAGCCTGGTCCTTTTCGAGTCCATTCAACCTGTGAAGGAAATCCAAGAGCATTGTGTATAGCCATGAACGTTCGAATCGCATCTTTGCTTTCGCCGCTTCGTCTCCAGCCTCGTATCTCTTCGCGGAGGCTCTCCATGCCTTCTTCAGTGACGGGGCCTTTGCAACAATACGATCTCTAGCCTCTTCACTAGCCAGGTTGTGCCAGACCGAGATAGAGACGAGGGGCGCACATTCTTTGCGGATCAAGACGTTCTCGAGCGACTGGAAGGCGCTGATAATAAACGATATGATAGAGAGGCGAGAGCGAGTCGGAAGTGAATGATCAATGCTCATTGAGAGAATACGGTGGAAGAGATTGGAGAAGTCATCGGCACGGTCGGAGAAGATATCTGCAATTGTCAGCTTCGCCGGATTATAGATCTTGTCGCATTGGCTCACCCCATATCGGCAAATGCTCGCGATGCTTCACGCTGACAATCAATGCAATCAAGAGTACATGGTGATTAGATGCATCCTCTGTGTAAGTCGGCCAAAGGAACCCGTAAAACAGTTAGCGTTAAGACCTACGGGCATGACTAGAGAGCACATACTTCTCAAGGACGTTCAGGTTCTCTAGAATCAGGAGCGAGCGGCTGTTGAAAGCCTCAGCTTCCAAAGGATCCCACAATTGCTTTTTGATGACATCTGGTTTGGCCTTACGGACCTTCGTGTTCAACCAGTGGGCCTTGGCTAGCTGCACCCACGGGCTTTCTTCACGAAAGTCCACCACTGTAGGTCTGGATTCGAGACTCTGCGCCATCGCAGGAGTCAATAGTTTCCTTAACCTAATAAGTTGGGGTTGGTCAAGGAGGGGTGGATTGGCGCAGTCGGGAGCATCTGAATTAGTGAAGCTGGGGGAGCTTTTTCCAAAAGTCTTGGCTTTAAGTTCCGCCGAGCCGCAGTTCTCAATCACTCCGACCACTTTGTCTCCCTTCCTTTCTACATCCATCTAATCTTTCTTCTTCCTCTTCTAATCCATTTTCTGACGATAATTGAGGAAACGCTTAAGAAGAAGCTAAATACTGCAATCGAGAAAAGGCGAAGGCCCCCTAAAAAGACAATTCGAGAAGACGCCTACGAACACGCTCGAGACGACGCTTCGAGACGACACTTTGAGACAACCCTCTAGGGTCCCTTCCAAAGGCGCAGAGTGATACACTTTACAAAATGGCGAACGGGGACTCTGCCGGTGTCCAGGTCTACAGAAGACTAGTGGACAGTCTCCTAGATCGCGCCGCGCAGGTCAAGCCCGACAAGCAGATCGAACCCCCTTTGACCGAAACACACCTGGGTGAATCGATATGGCAAGTGCCATCTGAGGATGACAAGGCTACAGAGCACTTGAGCCCGCAGACCAAGGTTGCGGCTGTGGAAATCGCGTTTCGCGAGAAGTTCTATCGCGTCTTGGTACGGCCCGATACACAACTCTAGTCTCCATGGAATTGCTAACAGTTCGCCATAGGCCTCAACTTCCATCGATGACCCTGCTTACATTCAAATCTGGAACCTCCTTGACATTGTCTCGATCTTCTCTGATAATGGTCAGTCTCCACACTCCATCCGCAATTCATACATCTCTAACAACCACTAGAACAATGCGAACCCGGTCTGATTTTCTGGCTCATTGAAGAGCTCTTGGATAGTCAAACGATCAATGGCTGCCGCAAGGTGTTTGACTACCTGGAGTCCCGAAGGGAAAGGAACACCAAGGTCAGCAAGGCCCCCTCACTGACTAGATTATATGTTACGAAGCTAACACTGCAAAAGAAACACTTCAAACAGAAAAGCTTAGTTATTCTACGATCCTGTAACGAGCTTCTTCGTCGACTCTCGCGCGCAGAAGATACAGTGTTTTGTGGCCGGGTGTTTATTTATCTCTTCCAGAGTTTCCCACTGGGAGACAAGAGTTCGGTTAACCTTCGCGGCGAGTTCCACTCTGAGAATGTTACGACTTTCGACGAAATTGCGAAAGAGCCAACCGAGAAGCAGGAGCAAGATATAACAATGACTGAAGGTGCTGAACCTGAGGCACCTGAAGAGGCAGACGCGGGCCATGCTGAGACACCTTCTCAACAAACGTCGAAGGTGCCCAAGGTTGTTGTTTCTACGGGTGATGACAAGAAATCGGATGTCGACTTGAACGCTCTCTACCCTCTCTTCTGGAGCCTTCAGGCCTATTTCTCTGCACCAAGCAAGATGTTCGATGCTGAACGGTTTACGTCATTCAAGACTGGAATGGAAGCTACGCTGGCTGCATTCAAGAACATCAACACTGAGATGGAAAATGAGAGCTCTGCTCGGGCCTCCGAGGATGCTCGGAAGTCGAACAAGCGCAAACGCGTCGCGGATGGTACTGAAGTCGCCACCAGCTTCAACCCGAAGTACTTGACCAGCCGGGATCTGTTTGACCTGGAAATCAGCGACACTGCCTTCCGACGACATGTTCTTGTCCAGGCTCTTATTCTCCTCGATTTTCTGCTCTCTCTGACATCACAATCCAAATCACGCCTGGTCGATACAACGAATAAGTCCGTTCTATACGGTTTCACTTTGAACGAGGAGGATACCAAGTGGGTGGCCAGCATGCGAAAAGGCATCGAGCTATATCTGCAACAAGGTCCCGGAGGCAAGTTCTACTATCGCATGGTGGATACTGTCTTGTCTCGAGACAAGAACTGGGTGCGGTGGAAAGCCGAGGGCTGCCCATTGATTGAGCGACCGGCCATCTCGGCGGCAGAGTATACAGCTTCCCGCGAGCATGCCACCAAAGCGTATGCCAACAAGCGCCTTCGTCCGTCCCCGATGGGCTCTCTCGATTTGAAGTTCCTTGCCGACACAGAGGTGCTGGCCAATATCGAGCGTCTCAAGGAATCCGACCGATACAGCGTTCCTTCCGCGGAGTCGTTCTTGAAGGGCATCATGGATGATGAAATGGACATCGATATGGCGATGACCGACGAGGACAAGGCGATTGCCGAAGGTGCTAAAGCTAGCAAGTCCTGGCGAATCCTACGTCTTGCTGCGAAAGGAAAGCTCGCCGCATTTGACAAAATCGGAGAGGGCAACAATCTACAGGTTTTATTCGAAAGCGCTACAGCGAATGAGGATAACAATGAGCTTAGTTCCTCTGGCGATGCCAAGGTCCTTTCCCAGTCCCTTGATGGAGGTCAGGACCTGCCTGCTGCATCTGAAGAGCCTGTCAAGGACAAAGAGTCCGCTGAATCGGGCGAGGCTGAATCCGAAGAACCCGAGAGCAAAATCGAGACTGACGAATCTAAGAGTGCTCAGGATCCGAGCACAGAGCAGGAAATGCAGGTGGAAAACAAAGACGTCATCGAACAAGCCATAAGCACCGATGACCACACAGAGGCCCTTGCCGCCGCTAGCGCCTCGAAAGAGAACCCTGCCACCTAAAGCCGAATTGTGGCTTGAAGATATTTGGATACTCAAATGACTTTGACCCCCCCTTTTGTCCGGAGAAAATCCTCCAATGGCCATCGTATGGCGCAGTCACGCAGTGACCAGCCACATTCAGATAATCCAGGCAACCTGCAGGATTTCATGCGTTGATATCACGGCACCGTTACCTTGAACCGGGAGCGAGATTACCATATCCGTGCACCTGCATTATCCGCGACGTTTCTGGGATGATTCAGCACATGATTTTTTTTTTAAAAAAAAAAATACGATCAGAGCGCATCCTCGGTCATCCCTGCATACAGAACGAAACCTTTATCTGGCCTAATTCGGGGTCATTTCACGAGCTTTTTTTTTCCCTCTTTTTTTTCCAGAAAAAGCCCCTCAGAGTTGCCCCTCAGAATCGCCCCTCAAATTCGCCATCACTCCGGACTCATCGGAGGAGAATCGGAAAGGGATGTCGCTTAAATCGAAACCAAAACAAAAAAAAAAACTACCAAATCTGGTATTCTACGGGAAGCGGGTCACTAGTAGAAGCGATGAAAGCTCCTACCCGGGATGGAGAAACAATGAATATTAGCTAACGTGGAGACCAAGATTCTTCTGATCGGCAACTCTAATACAAATGACTTGAAAGGGTTCCTGCATGAACAAGAAAAAAAAAATCTTCCGTCCATGTGCTTGGGGAGTTCGCTAATTTCTCAGTGGCGCTGGCGTCACCGCCATGTTTCACTTTCCCTTTTTTTTTCGTACATTTTTTTTCCTGTCAGAAACTAGGGTAAGATTAAGTGGCTTATCAGAAACAGTAAAATCAATGGAAAAAAAATTTTAAAAAAAGGAGAGAGAGAGACAGAGAATATGGAGTACTCCATAAGCCCTGAAATGTACTCTACACGAGATCACCTAAAACACCATTGAACCATTAGTTGCAGAAGTGGGCACTTCCACTTTGGCCCCTTTTATTTTGTGATAGAATTCTTTCGACGGGGTAGTTCGTGAGGATATAGTGCAATATAGTACAATATAGTAGAATAGGGTTCGAGAAGAGGCAAGCGAAGCAAATCATCCCCTAAAAAGAAATCGCGCACTGATCGTCTAGTGCTCGGTGCCTTATAAAAATCCACTCGAGCAAAGACATCAAAAGAAAAAAACCACATGGGAAGTTCAACACAAGCGTGGAAGTTTGATCTCCACCATACAAGTGTACGTAGGCATATAACGGCCATGTGGTCCGATCTCAATGCATTGACCATGTGGATTGCTACGGACTACGGAGTATTGGTTGTACCGATGTTCTCAGACCAGAACATCACCTTAAATGTTTGGTGTACATAGAACTTCTTTACTATGTTTCTATATTCCTATATTTCTATATAATACTATATTACTATATTAATATATTACTATACTATATTACATATATTAAGGGAGAAAAAAAAGACTTCTGCCAAGAGATCGGCTTGCGTCACCCACTTAATTGAATATTAACTGTAACGGTATCTGTAAGGAAAAGGGTAAAGCTAAAGGGTTTCGATCGATCTCGGTTTCCCCCGCACAGCACGTTCCAGAATGTTGGGAGATTACAAGGACACATCATACGTTGTGGACTGGTTTTTCTTTTTTTTTTTTTTTTTCTTTTTCTTTTTTTTTTTCAGGGTCTCACAGAGGTCTAAGGATCGTCACAACTTCGGCCGTGAGCCTCTCCGGGATCGAATAGTCAACGGGTCCGAGTTTTCTCCTCCGACTCCACTTGAAGTTTTTTGTTTGTAGATGTACAACATAAATACTCCATATGTTGATGGTGTACGATATCCGGAGTAATTCCCTTGAACAGGAAAAAAAAACCCCCCTAACATAAACTATTCAACTCCTACTTCGTAATCATTATCCGATATCCGACCCGATGCTCTTCGTCAGTCCTTTTTGACCCACACAATCTTTGATATTTTATTTCTGTGACTCGAATTGTTTCATATTGTGGAGATTTCCAGGGGAGCTGTCTCTGACAGACTGAGCCATGGAATTTTATCTTCGCTAAAACCCCCCTTAATTCCGATTTGATCAGGCCCGCTTGGGTTGAAAACTATTGGAATTTCTTTCGGACGAGGCTCTACAAAGGCTATACCCTCCGATAAACTGGAGCTGAAGTTTCAGCTCTATATTGGTTCGGCATTTGAAATTATCCCTTTTTATTATTTCACTATCTCCACCCACTCGCTTCTTTCCGAGGGTATTGGCGGGCAGCCCGCTGAGTGGCTCTCATTGATAACCAACGGGTGCCGCTTATGGATCTCCTACGCCACTCAACCAATTTGACTAGTCACTCCCACATGGCCAAGTATGCGCGTTGTCTGTAACGGCGTCCCAAGATTCGCCTTTTTTTTTTACTTTTTTTCTTTATTTATTTATTTATTTTCTTTTTACCTTTATTTTTCTTTACTCTTTACAGAAGCTAAGATCCATTCACTTTAAAAAAAAAGGAAAAAAAAAAAAAAAAGATATACAAGTAGATATCTTTCCTTTCTCTTCCTTTTTCCTCTCTTCGGATCTCGGGGGCCCGCAGGATCCATTTCCTTCTTACCTTGACATTTCCCATTCAGCTTAGATTTCACCATGAAGATTATTATATCAACTCTCTTTATTCTACCCCGTATCGGATATCTTTACCTATCACTTCGTATCTAGGCGCCTTGCATCTGAAAAGGCTTTAGGCCGAATATAGGCATTGGATCGGAGGCTACGATTTATTCTCCGAGCCGATCCTTTTAGTTTCTGATACTATCTGTATTGTATACCATCTATACCATATGTAACCTGATGTTTTACCTGTGTAGTCAACGGTTGCCGCTATGGACTGTTCGGTATAGGATCTTCATCCAGGTAAATAGATCGGGTGTTGATCTGTGGATTCCTTGTGTCTCTGATCGGTTGGGGCTTTCTACATACTTGTCCGGAGTACGGAGTACGTTTAAAGTCTTATCCCCCTGGCCCACTGAGAATTAAGCCAAACTATCTCTATGTTGTAGGTGAATTGAATCTTATGCAGACTCTATTCACATAAGAAGCAGTTTATACAAAGTCCAATAGATGAGATTCGGGTCAAAGTTGTGGACCCTGGGGCCATTCCGCTTAATATCGTATTCCACTGCTACCTCGCTTGGCTATTAAGACCTCAGAGGATATCTCCGGTCGATCCTAGCCTAGCGGCATTATTCCCAGGTACCACATTTTTTTCTTGGTGGATGCTTCTTAACATCTTATAGCTACTACCCAGCTGCGTAACGATCATCAATCGGAACCGATCTCAGATCCAGAGGAGAAAAATAAAATAAAATAAAAGCTGGAGAGTCGTCCCGCTTGACGTATCCTCGTTTGGGCCTTGTTTTTTCCTTTCTCCTCTTCTGGGAAACACACCGGTTCCTTTTCACCTTCTTATTTTTTTTTTTGGCGTAATCTCCTTACTTTACTCTTCTGCTCCCTTTACTTTAATTGCAGAAACCCTGATCCTTTTTATCCTTTTGTTACGGCACTTCATCAGACCCACCAACGTCTCATATCGGGGGAATCTACCGTTTCCTTTTTGGGAATTTCTCCTGTGTCTTGTCGAAAGTCCTTTCGACTCTATTTCTTTTTTTTTCCTTTACAAAGACCTTGTCTTGATCTACGGGTAAGGGCAAATATACAAATATATCCAAACTAGACCCTTACCATGTCAGTCGGCGGTCCTTGCCTTTGGTTGCCTTCGTTATCTTCACCAGTGCCTTCGCCCCTATCTGCAGTTTCTCATCTCTCCCGGAATAGCGAGGGACTCTCTTTGGGTAGAAATATCTCACCACGGCTATCTGTGCAGACGAAAGAGGAGCCTGGCGTTCCTGTGCACGTTCCCGCCCGTCCTGTGGAGATGCAGCCTGCTGGTTATAAGGCTGAGAATGCCTTGAATAACCCACAGCCTGTCATGGGTTCAGCGCCGTACTTGGGGAGAGATGTCTCACGGGAGACGGTCAACCACCGGTTGGAGGCGGCGAAACAGGATATGCTTCCCCGTGTCAAATTGGAGATTCCGAGTCTGAATCAGCGGGGGTTTTTGTCTGCTCAGCCGCTGGTCGGGCACGGTCATCCTGAAGAGATGGGTGTTTCATCGTTTTCAGGCCATGACCCGAGAGACGACCATGAGAGAGAATCGACACTCAGTCCTGATGACGATAAAGATATGATGGGCAGTGATGACAATAGATCGCCTTCCATGGAGAAGAAGAAGATGAAGCGTTTCCGGTATGAAGGTCTGAATTTGGAGTACAGCGCATTGTTGCTGACAGAACTATAGTTTAACACATAACCAAACCCGCTTTCTGATGAGTGAGTTCACTCGCCAAGCACATCCCGATGCGGCTCATCGGGAACGTCTGTCGAGGGAAATCCCTGGGTTGACCCCGCGTCAAGTTCAAGTCTGGTTCCAAAATAGGTAGGGTTATCAACTAGTTTAAATCGTCTGTGCTTGACTAACGTGAGATGTACTGTCAGGCGAGCAAAGCTCAAGCGTCTCACTACCAATGATCGGGAGAGAATGCTCAAATCTCGGGCCCTTCCTGACGATTTCGATACAACAAAAGTTCTGCGCACGCCCTTCGAGGGCAAACAATCAGGTGTCACGCCAGTGGCATCTCCGCAAGGCTACGCCGCTCCAAATCCAGATTTCGGATCTTTGAGAACTCTGCGTACCGATTGTTACCCCCGACCAAATGAAGACGATTATCTCGTTTCGCCTCTCAGCTCCGCATCGACAGCAGGCACCTACATGTCCTCAACTGGACGAAATGACAGCCTATCTCAGTCGAACATGATGTTCCGTCCGGCTGCATCTGCCTCCATGTCCGATTTACATAGAACCATCCGCAATGATTACCCAGTCACCAGATCAAGCAGCTTGTCTGATGCATCGGCCAATCCGTCAGCATATGCGGGGTATCATATGCACAACCGCTTCGCGGGGCCACAGCCAAATCAGCCAGGTCTGCCCTATATGAGACGACCCCTAGAATACGCTATACCCCGTCATCCAGGTATGGGGCCCTATGATCAACATCAATCGTTCGAAGGCTCGGTGTCACCAACAGACACTCAAGGCCCACATATTACCTACGATATGAACAATCTTGGTTAGTTCTTTATTTTTTCCCCATCTCTTGACATTCTTTTGAAATATTTTCTAACAAGAAGGGTTTCATACAGGCCCCCAACAACAAAACTACAACCTTGGAATGGGCTCTCAATTACCAACTCAAGGCCGACCGATGGCCGCCATGCAGAACCTGCCAGTCTCGGCAGCGCAAGATTATCGGCCCTATCCTTACGACGCTCCCGCAGGCCCAATGGGCACACCAATTCCCTACACGCAAGCAAACGCCTCGACTCTAAGTCTCCCAACTTCGGAGCCGTCTTACAACTACCCCAACTATATTCAGCAGTGAGGGACTCAAGGCAGTGTGCTTTACAAAAGAATCGGCTGCCACTTGTCTGCTATACGACACCCTTCTTGCTTCGACATCTTCTCCATCTCATCCCCCATCTACGCCTTCTGGTTAACTGGTTAGCTGGGTTAACCAAAAGATCCGCGATCTACATCAGCGAGTATTAATCATTAATCATCCTCATAGCGTTCACAATTTCTGGTCTCTGGTTTCTTGGTCTTTTTGGGTTTTCTTCTGTGTCCTGTGTTATCAATTATCTTTTTTTAAACCTCTTGTCTTGCCTGCATCTGCATCCTTTGTTTGATTTACCATGCTGTTCCCTTTTTTGTCGCGTTTCTTTTAGTCTGGTCTGGTGTGGCCTGGAATCTAGCGATCATTGTCTGGGAGGCACTTTGTCTAATATTAATTGTTTCTGGTCTCGCTGCATAGCCTCGGGGTGAAAGGTCGAAATGGTATAGAGATCTACATACTGTGTTTAGAAGCAGACAGACCATCAAGTCTACAATTCATTTGAACCAAATAAACCGAGTTGTCCTTGACATTCAGATTCGTCCACTTCATGGCACTATAAGCATACAACAATATCTAATTCCTTACTCCGTACGGAGTAGACATCCGACTTCGGCTCATTAAGGTCAAAGCTCCCGACGCGACTAAACAATAGTTCCCTTACGTGCATACTATATGTTGTAAATCGCCGCCCCTTCCCCAGCACAATGGCATAGCCCTGGTCATCCAAAATCCTACTTGTCGAATCAGAATCAAGACAAAAGTAATCAAGTTTCTCTTTTATTCGACACATCCACAATCAGACCAGATCTTCTAGCCACTCAAGAGACATGTATTTGCTTGTCGTCGCAATGGACCAATCAGCACCCATGGAAACAGAACACCGTATCACGTGATATTATTTTTCTTAGCCAATAATATCTCAGCAATTGATAATCATCATCCTCTGACGCATGCAGAACAACTATAAAGGAACTCGTAGAAGCAGCATATTATTTTCTTTCTCTCAGACACTCTCATCTTGATTCTAAAACAATCTCCCTTCGATATCTTTCATCTTTCAATCTTGCAAATTCGCAGATCCACCACCTTCATCAATATCACCTCTCAATCTTCAAAAAACTACGTCATATCAAATCAACCTGCCAAAATGGTCCACCCTAATACCACCTGCTGCAAGACCTCCGACGACGGCTCCTGCGTCTGTGCCGCTCAGGCCAAGTGCTCCTGCGGTGAGAAGACCGCCCTCCACTGCAGCTGCAACAAAGCTTCCTCTGAGAACGCCGTATCTGGTCCCCGCTGCTCATGCCGTATGTGATCCAACTATTCCAGCAATTTGGGAAACGAAACATAGAGACTAACTAATTTAAAATAGGCTCTCGCCCAGCTGGTCAATGCACCTGTGAGCGTGCCATTACCGAGAACAAGCCTGTCGCGGGTCAGGCCTGTGCCTGTGGCAGCCGTCCTCAGGGTGAGTTTTAGTTCCTTTCTGATGTCATTTTGTCATTGAATTTCCTGCTAACTTTTGAATTTAAGATTCTTGCACCTGTGAGAAGGCTGCTGCTGTTGAGTCCGCCCTCGAGGTTGACTTCACCACCAGTGCTTAAGTGACTCGGTTCACCTGTATCTCTTAAAGGCTGTGATGGGTTTCCCTATCATTGGTAATTGCATTTTCTCTCATCTCCACCTTGATGGGATGGTGGCGTCTTGGGCTTGGGCATTTTTATATTGGTTGATGTTTGCTTTGGGGGTTCGTTATCATTAACTACTGAACGAGATATGAAATGAGATATTAATTTTATCCAATTTTCACTACAATAACATATAAACAAACACGGACTGGGAGAACTGGGAGTAACACTTATACTATATTTGTTTAGTACGCTAACAGCTATCGCAATGGACTTGGGTGGCTTTGAAACGGGAATCTACTTAAAATAGATATGTCGAGCCTCATAAAGCTTGTTTCGAATGGAAAGATGCATATCGAGCTAATACATAGTATGTTGAAACAATTATAACCCAACTTGTTTTCTAGGTTATTTTACTATTCTTATGCAGAATCAGTCTAATGAAATGTAGTTCTGTCCATGTCACAAATAAAACTAGAACTTATACTTCGTTGCACTGCCACATCGGATCAGTGTTCCTCCGCCGCCACAGCGGAACCCGGGCTGATCGACAACGGAAGTGATCCAAATGAACGAAGCGGACAAATTACGGGGATGGACTCATCTCGATTTCGCGTGTTTCTCGGCCCGTTTCTCCTAGGATCTCTGAACTGGTCGCTATTCTGTGCGTTGCAACCCCGCCATTCAATCGGATATCTCCGGCCCACATCAACCACTGCTGACAAGCTCCCCAGGATCCAATTTCCTCACACCACACTCAACCCCCTGTTTTCCAAGGAGCTTCCACGAACACAGAAATCTATCACTTGACACGCTGCATGGTCAATGCCCTATAATCGACACGCCAGCATAACCGGGACATGGTTGTGTGACGTTGTGCGTCCGATCGCGAACCCCTGAGGTGATAATCCCGCGTGGCATGCGAGGGCGCACCTCGAGCGAAACCCCGCCATACCATAGTCCTCGATTTTTTTTTCCAACCCGTGAGCTGATAAACACGTTAATACGCTGCCGTCGCTATGTCGTCGATGCGAGGGCTTGTGCAGTTCATTGCTGATCTGCGGAACGCCCGCGCTAGAGAACTCGAGGAGAAGCGCGTGAATAAGGAGCTAGCCAATATTCGGCAGAAGTTCAAGGCTGGCAATCTTAATGGATACCAGAAAAAGAAATACGTTTGCAAATTGCTCTATGTTTACATTCAGGGTTATGATGTGGACTTCGGCCATCTCGAGGCTGTTAACTTGATCTCTTCGTCTAAGTACTCTGAGAAGCAGATTGGATACTTGGCTGTCACGTTGTTCTTGCATGAAGAGCATGAGCTGCTTCATTTGGTCGTCAACAGTATTCGGAAGGATCTGCTCGATCATCACGAATTGAATAACTGCTTAGCCCTGCATGCTGTAGCTAACGTCGGTGGTAAAGAGCTCGGAGAAGCGCTGGGCTCGGAGGTTCACAGGCTGCTTATCTCACCGTGAGTTTCTGACGTTTGTTGTCTTGTTTATGGTTGTTCTAACATTTTTCCAGTACCTCCAAAGCTTTCGTCAAAAAGAAGGCTGCTTTAACACTCCTGCGGTTATACCGTAAATACCCCGGCATCGTGCGGAATGAATGGGCCGAGAGAATTATATCGATCATGGATGACCCTGACATGGGAGTAGCGCTCTCTGTCACCTCTTTGGTCATGGCGCTAGCTCAGGATTTGCCAGAAGAATACAAAGGCTGTTATGTCAAGGCTGCGCAGCGATTGAAGCGGATTGTGGTTGACAACGATATTGCTCCGGACTACCTTTACTACCGCGTACCATGTCCATGGATCCAGGTTAAATTTTTGCGCCTGTTGCAATACTATCCTCCATCAGGTATGTTCATTGTTGTGGATACTTATAACCCAGTTTCTCATATACAATTACAGAGGACAGCCATGTTCGCGAGATTATTCGAGAGTCGCTCTCCCAGATGATGCAAGCTGCAATGGAAACACCCAAGAATGTCCAGCAGAACAATGCACAAAACGCGATTCTCTTCGAAGCCATCAACCTCCTTATTCACCTCGACTCTGAGCACAATCTCATGATGCAAATTTCTACTCGCCTGGGCAAGTACATTCAATCTCGGGAGACTAACGTCCGATACCTTGGTTTGGATGCATTGACCCATTTCGCCGCTCGAGCTGAAACCCTTGATCCGATTAAAAAGCACCAGAACATTATCTTGGGCTCGCTTCGAGACCGTGACATCAGTGTTCGTCGCAAAGGATTGGACCTGTTGTACAGTATGTGCGATACCAGTAATGCCGGCCCAATTGTAAACGAGCTTCTGCGATACCTGCAAACTGCCGATTATGCCATTCGAGAGGAAATGGTACTCAAGGTCGCCATTCTTACCGAAAAATATGCCGCCGATGCACAGTGGTACATTGACATGACATTGAAACTACTCTCGCTGGCTGGCGAACATGTCAACGACGAAGTATGGCAACGTGTGATTCAGATCGTGACCAACAACGAAGAACTACAGGCATATGCAGCACACACCCTGCTAGGATACATGAAGTCCGATTGCCACGAGAGCTTGGTGAAAATTGGCTGCTACGTCTTGGGCGAGTACGGCCACCTCATCGCCGAAAATGCAGGCTCGAGCCCTATCGAACAATTCCTGGCTCTGCAGGCCAAGATGTTCTCCAGTTCTGACAACGCGCGGGCCATGATCCTCTCCTCGTTTGTCAAGTTCGTGAATTTGTTCCCCGAAATCAAACCTCAGCTTTTGCAAATCTTCCGCCTGTACAGCCATTCTCCCGATTCCGAGCTTCAGCAGCGAGCATTTGAGTACCTGTCACTAGCGACTCTCCCGACCGACGATCTACTACGAACAGTCTGCGATGAGATGCCGCCATTCTCGGAGCGTACCTCCATTCTGCTTTCTCGGCTACACCAAAAGACAGCTGGTGCGAGTGAGAAGAAAACCTGGGTTATTGGTGGCAAGGATGCGAATGCGGACAAGCAGGAAATGCTCTTGGCACAGAACACTGGTCTCAAGCGCACCTTCACGACAATCGTTCATGGCACGCGCACTGGGTCTGGAAGTACTCCAGTCAGCCCAGCAGGCGCAAATGCGGCCAGTGCATCGGGCGACTTGGCAGGCCTTGATCTCAGCGGTCCATCAGCTCCAGCTCCTAATATGGCCAGTGCCGCTCACCTGACTCCAGAATGGGACATCGGCTACAACCGACTATTCTTCTCACGTGAAGGTGTGCTTTTCGAAGATGCACAGATCCAGGTCGGACTGCGCTCAGAGTACCGCGGCCCTATGGGTGTCGTGAAAATCTATATTTCGAACAAGTCCACGTACCCCATCGGGTCCCTTACCACCACCATCGATAACCCAGCCTCTCCTCAACTGAAGATCGACACAAAGAATCTTCCCGAACCAACCATCGCCGCTGCCGGGCAGACACAGCAGACTCTGTTCTGCACCGCTCACGGTCCCTTCACGGATGCGCCTACCATCCGTATCTCATACCTGGCCGGTGCTCTCCAGGCCTACACACTCCAGCTGCCTGTCCTAATGCACCGCTACATGGAATCGTCCACTCTGTCAGCCGAAGAATTTTTCAAGCGATGGCGTCAGATTGGCGGTGGCCCGCTGGAATCCCAGAAGACATTTGGCTTGCTGGGTAAGAACAAGGCCATCAACGAGCGATTTACTCGGAGAATTGTCGAGGGATTCGCATTCAAGATTTTGGATGGAGTCGATCCGAACTCTCAAAATATTGTTGGTTGTGCCGTGTACCAATTCGAGGGAGGTAAGACGGGCTGTCTGCTGCGGCTGGAGCCCAACTACGAAAAGAAGGTATGTATTAAAACTCTTCCAATTCTTTTGGTGTGATCATGCTAACTCTATTGTTCAGATGTACCGCGTCACTATTCGTGCCACCCAAGAAGAGGTACCGCAGTCACTAGCCAGACAGATGGAGTTAAGGCTGGCGCAGGGCATAAGAGCAGATGAAGCCTTCGATTAAAGCGTCTGCGGGTGATCTAGAAGCATTCATGTATATCTCTAATTGGATTACAAGTCAATATTAGCAAGTGTTCCTGGTGGAATCTCGCATCTCGTGTATAACTCTTCGCAGTAACAAATAGAAGTGCTATACATACGGTACATCTAATGATCAGCGTTCTCGGTGGCGATGTATCCACACCAGAAGCCCAACTTTTGAAAAGTCTAGTCTTCACAACACAAAAAGAAATCGTAACTCATGACCTCAACCTTCAAACTCAAACAATACTCGCCTCCGCCTTAGGCGGACGATCCCCAAAGATCGTAGTCCCAACCCTAACCTGATCGCTTCCAAGAGCAATCGCCCCCTCAAAATCTGAGCTCATACCCATACTAAGCTCCAGCTCAGCCTCATCCCCAACCAACCCAAGCTCTTTAACAACACGATCCCTCGTCTCCCTCAAACAAACAAAATCCTCATTCTCATTCTCCACTGTGGTCATCTTCGATCTCGCAATAGCCCCAATAGTCATAAAACCCTGCAATTTAAGCCGAGGACACTGCTCACGGACATATCGACAAAGTGCCGTTGCCCCAGAAGGCTCAATACCAGCCTTATTCTCCTCGCCAGACGTATTAACCTGAACATAGATACGCAGCTTCCCATCCTCGTCGTGGTTCGTAGCAGCCATCTCAGGCCCCCTCTCACCCCACCCTTTATCCAGCAACTTTGCCTTCTTTTCCGAGTCGACGCTCTCGACAGCCCATAGCCCACGCACATCCCGCGCAAGTGTCACGCACTTATTGCTTTGCAACCCGCCGATGAAGTGCCATTTGATGGTTGCGGGCAGCAGCCGGGATTTCTCAAGTAGTTCTTGCAAGTAGTTCTCACCGAAGTGGAGTTGCGATCCTGGGGCTTGGTGCAATGCCAGTGCGTCGCTTGCAGGCTTGAGTTTGGAGACGGCTACGAGTCGGATTGGTTTGCTTGGGATTGGGGATTGGAGGGCGGCTGTATGCACCCGTGCGCGCACGGCCGTTAGGTTTGAGAGGAGTGCAGCGGCACGTGCTGGTGTTGCTGGGGTCATTGTTGGGAGTTCGGGTGTTTTGGTTGTCATTGCAGTTTGGGTGGAGGTTATTTGTTGTTGTATTTGTGATTGGTGTTTCTCGGTTGGTTTGGGGTGGTGTACTCCTTTCGAGGAGTTGTGGATTTATCGTTTGGTAAAAGCTCAGTTACAGATTGTAATGATGTGTTCAATTAAATTGGCGCAAATCAAATCCGAGGTATGGATAGAAGGTGGGCTTTGATTAGGGGGCCTTAGGCACCAAATTCGGGGAACATCCCGATACACGTGACTTGTACCGCCACATGCTCTGCGCCTCACACTTTATTTTTCTTTCCGTTTGCGTCTTTGGCGATGAGATCATTCGATCTCGATCTATGGACTCATCCTTGGAAGAATGTTAATTGACACATAAACTCTATATATATTTTTTTTTCTTCAGCGCCAAATGTTACAGACCGGCAGGTAATCCCGGGATCCTGGCGGCAAGTCAAACAGCTCTCTGCTCCAATCATACATCTGCATGTTCGGAAAAGACACCCTGGAGCGCCGGGTATGAGCGGATCCCAGTTAGTCTCAACCTGTCAGACCTGGGCTTCCTATCTTGTCGATCAGATTTGTCGCCGTTGAGTTTCAAACCCCTTTAATGCAGGATCTCGATCTCTATTTTTAATGTTTCTGCATGATTTTATTTCTGGGCCTTTGTTGAACCTATTGAAACAGAACAATAGCCGCCCTTTTCTTTTCTTTTTTTAGTCTTACTTCAGGCTAAGACCAATCCCATTTTTAATTACCTCACTACGAAACCCCCTGTCTCCATCAGGTTGCTTGCCAAGTTTGCTGCCTAGAGTCTCAATTGGGAGTACAGAGTAGGGACATAGCTATTCGACCTATCTAGCATGCCAACCCAAGAATACGACCTTTTCTGTCAGATGTAACCTATAGCTCTCAGCCGGATGGAGAATCTAGGCAAAGTATAAGCCACTATATAATCATGAGCCCACTTATAATTATTATATACCATCAAAGAAAAGGGTTTCTTTGACGTCAGCTCCAATCAATAGCCGTGGTTCCATTCATAGAACCATTCACTCATCATTACATTAGCAATAATTTAGAGAGCTTATTATCTCCGATCTTTTTTTCTCTTGATCCCTAACATCTACAACTCTCCTCACATATCGCATCTCATTTCAGCTGGTCTGAACAAGACTTTCAAAGCTCTGATCTCGATATCGCAAATACCTTCCGTGGCTTTCCGATTAGTAGCTACATAGCTCGCCAGAAACCATTTTCGCACCACTTACACACATTGGGCATTTGACATCCTCATTTCCTTGCCAATACACCATCAATACCTATCTCACAGTCACTCCACTTCACACTTTCTGAAACGATCATCAAGAACGCATCGTGGGTACCTGTGGGACCCCCGGCAACAATCAACAGTCAACTACAAGCTCGAAGAAAAGCATCCAATAGAATCAATCATGTGCCGCCAATATTTCACACTCTACGAATGGTGCCAATGCGAAGAAGATGCCGGCAACAGCGTCTGCGCTGCCCACCGCCGGAATGGCTGCCCGGGTATCAGCGTCGAGACCGTGCATATGCACTGCTTCTGCGACTCACATGCCACCCGTGGCTTCAAATCCGAAAAGGAAACCCGCAAAAAGGAGAATAAGGTGCGCCGTCGATCTGAGGATTCTCTTGATGAGAAGGATTCTCTCAGGCGTCGGTGGTACCAGTGGTACCAATGGCGAGGTTTGCGGTCGCGTTAGTGACTACATTTATGTTTGATGTCTTTCTATTTCTCCCTTCTCTGTCTATCTTTTTTACAGCTTCGGTGTTGGGGGGACTTGGGGTCTCGGTTTTGATCTTGGGGAAATGGAACTGTTGCGGGCTTACGCTGTTCCATCACGTGGATGCAATGATCTAGATGATCTGCATGAGATTCGATTCTTGTCTTTATTGAAATTCTTTTTTTGCTTGTCTATTTTTATATTAGAGAAATGTCCTAATAGAGGAAGCATGAAGCATTGTTGCGGATTGTTACAAAAGCTATGGATGAAAATACAATATTATTAAATATGTCAGGGTCAGACAATAAGAATCAAGTCAAAGAAAATCAACGAGATCAATAACAATAAAATCTTAAACAATAGAAATATAATAATAAGAAATATATAGATGTCGTTGTATGTCGTTGTTCTATGCTATAGAGATCGGCCGAACCCTTACCCCATGTGGCTGAACCCAAACATGTGAATCTCCACATTTCTTTGTGTCTTTGTTTCTTTTGTTTCCCCTTCCCTATTCATTCAACCTCGACCTATCATCTCTCGAATTTTACTTCGTGTTGAATGACAAGGAACATATTGTGCAAAACCTTTGTGGAGTCGATATCTGCAAGATGGACTACAAGCTCCCCTCCACTCAGGAGGACCCACCATTAGGGGACAATGGCATCAATAACAACAATGTCGATGAAGCGCATTGTGAATTAATCGATTCTCTGGATCGCCTTACTTTAGCGACAGCGACTCCATTACCTCCATCACCTCGTATCTCTTCTATTCCATCCTATCTTCCTCCTAGATATGTTCAAGCCACTCGAACTGTACCTGTTATTCCTTTGCAGTCAAATCAACCTGTTCAGTCTGTCTCTTTACAATCAAATCAGCCCGTTCAACTTGTCTCACCACAAACAGCCGGTTCTGTTTCTGTTCAAGACGAACGACGCTCAATTGCTCCATTACAAAAGCGCAAGTCTGCTGCATCTCTTCGATCCGTCTCCCAACCGCTCAAATCATCTTCTCCAACTCCTAATCATTCACGTCGTACATCACTCACTTCTGCGGAGTCCCCAACCACCGCAACTTTCCCCGCGATGCACCCCGCACGCCTTGCTTTTAGCCCAGCTCTAGAAGCTCCAATTCCTACTGCTTCATCTGTCGCCGCTGAGCACTTCTCAAAAGAGCTTGAACTGCACCGATCTGGTGATGTTAATACTCAAACTGCTGTTATTATCCATGATGACTGCTATGGCCATCGTTACTCCCAGCTTGAATCGACAAAACGAACCCTCGAGAGAATTGTCGAACGACCAGAGCGCATCCGCGCCTGTGCTGTAGGCATATCTGCAGCCTATGTTCTCATTGGCTCTCGGTATGCGGAAGGTCTTGTGCAAAACCCAAATTTGGGCTTAAACAGCATCAATGTTCCTTTCCAAATCATCAAGACTGATCGCAAAGTGCATTTGTCTGATACTGCTGTTACGGATGTCCATGGAACCCAATGGATGTCAGAATTGAAATGGATGGGAGATCGTGCAGAGTCACGTCTCATCATTGATGGTAATGAACTTGCCAGACAACGGACAGAAGAACACGACGGTCTCGGGACAACTGGTCCCGCCCTGAATGCCAACGACCTCTACTTGTGTTCAGAATCTGTGAACGCCTTCCAAGGTGCCCTAGGAGGAGTCTGCGAAGGAGTAGATCTTGTTTTCAAGCCTGGTCCAATCCAGCGCGCGTTCGTCTGCATTCGACCTCCCGGTCACCATTGTTCAGCCAACTTCCCTTCCGGCTTTTGCTGGATCAACAATGTTCATGTCGGAATCTCTCATGCAGCGACAGCACACGGTCTAACCCACGCTGCGATCCTTGACTTCGATCTTCACCATGGTGACGGGTCTCAAGACATTACATACGATCACAACTCCAGATTACTCAATAAGACACAAAGGACAAATTTGGCTAAAGCTGATGCCACAAAATTCAAGGAATATGAAGGTGCTCCCCCATACTCCAAAGCAGCAATCGGTTACTACAGCTTGCATGATGTGAACTCTTTCCCTTGCGAGACTGGCGAGCGCGAAAAAGTCATGGGTGCCAGCCTCTGTCTCGAAGCACACAATCAGTCCATCTGGAACGTTCATCTTGAACAGTGGGCCGATCTTGATGAGTTCTGGAGATTGTACCAGAATAAATACAACGCATTGCTCACCAAAGCCCGCTCCTTTCTCCGACAACGCACAAGTGAGCTCAACCAAGAGCAAAAAGAGAATCCGAATTCCCCCCTGCCCAAGGCGGCAATCTTCATCTCTGCCGGGTTTGATGCCAGTGAGTGGGAAGGCAACAGCATGCAGCGGCACAGCGTGAAGGTGCCAACCGAATTCTACGCCAAGTTCACTGCGGATGTCATCCGCATGGCGGAAGAGGAAGGCCTCGGTGTAGAGGGGCGGGTGATCAGCGTTCTCGAGGGCGGCTACAGTGACCGCGCCTTATCCTCTGGTGTTCTCAGTCACCTCTCAGGTCTGACTGAGAAGTCAGAGTACAAGAGTGAGTGGTGGTCTCACAACCAGCTGAGAGAATTGGATGCCATCATGGCTCCAGCGCCCAGCAAGGGGCGCAAAAAGAGTGCTGCCACCTACCTGACAGCCACCAAGTCCTTTGCGGCAAAGGCCGTCGTCCCCGGACGGAAGTCCACCGGGGACTTCGATTCCAACAGCCCCGCTCCATTGCCAGAAGTGAGCTGGGCGGCGGCCACCGGGGAGCTGTCAAAGCTCATAATCCCCGATGGCCGCCAGACCCTGAGCTGTCGTCCGGCGGAGCTGAACCGGCAGCGGCGAGAGCAGAACGCCCAGGATGGGGGACTGGACATCCCCATCCCCGAGAAGGGGCGCCAGCTGCGCGCTCGCAAGCCGAAGGAGGCGAGCCCCGTCCCCACCACCCCACGACGCCAGGTGCGCAAGGGGGCGAAGACCCCAAAGACCACCACTGCGGCCACGACCCTCCCTGCCGCCTCCAGTGAGGCCTCCCCGTCTGTTGGTGCCTCCCGTCGGAGCACCAGTCTGACGCGTGCGGGAACTCCCCGCCGGGGTGTCAGCCCCCTGAGCCTTCCCCCCGTTCCACAGATTCCAACTTCTGTGGGGGGAGGCAGGGGCGGCACCCGGATAACCCTCAACATGCCGGCGCGGGACGGTCGTGGTCGCAAGTTGTCCGGCGGTGCGGTTGACCACCACCGCCGTGGTCGAGGTTCAAGATCCCCCAAAAAGGGGAAGGGGAAGGGCAAGCGGGGGAGCAACTCCGGTGGAAGCTCGGGTGCTTCCGCCGGCAGTTCTCCCCTGGTCACGGCCAAGGATGCCGTGATGGAGGATGCCTAGAACGGCGGGCGTGGCCGTTCTGTTTCTGTTTTGACACATAATAATTTGATAATTTGATACCCTGGTTGTTTCTTGAATAATTCATTGTACGATTTCTCTTAAACTTTGTGATTATTTATCACAAAGACATCGTAGATTTTTAGATGATAAAATTGTGATGAACAAGCTTCGTTGGACATATCTGTAGTAGTTTATTATAAAAGACATTCATGGATAGAAGAAGCAAAGTAAATATCGACTGGCTGCTTGGTTGTATGTAATCTTCATATCTCGTTTCCAAAACATGATCACTCGAGTCAGAAATAAATTATATTTCGTGCACGAGTTCATTCCTACTACCCTTCCATCATTAGATTTTCCTATATCTCGTCATCGCAGTTATGAACAGAGAAAAATCAAATCCCCATATCGCATATCAGAAAGCTATGTATGAGTCAACTGTCAATGAGTTGAGCGCAATGTCACAAAGTAACTCCTCGCTGTACTGATCTCCACCCATCCACAAAGCCACCTAGAACCACTAGCTGCTCCTTCCGAATCTCATTACAGTCGTGAAATCCCAGTATTCGGGATACCATCCAGCAGATTCCCATTCAAGGAAAGCCGATAAATGACCATCATCCCCGACGAGAATATTATGAGCCTTGAAATCATCATGAGTGAAAGTAATCCGGTGAGGATATTTACGGAGATTATTTGCTTGTGCCAAGGCTTTGATATACTCCGTGGTTGAATGGAAGCCGTGTCCGGAGGCAGGGGATAAGAGAAAATTGTGGAGTTCATCTTCGTCTGTAAAAGGACCCATTATATGGTTAGGCACTCTTGAACTTCGCAACGGGGTACCCAGAACCGAGCAGATATTTCGGGTATAAGGCGATGACCAAGTACGCATAGAAGTCATGCATTGTTTCAGTTCGAAAAGCCATGGTTCTTCTAGATCAACTTGTAAAGATTCGGTCGAGTTCTCAAGAGGGGTACCAGGTAATCTCGTCATCAATATTGAGAAACTCCGATTAAAGGGTGCAGTAGGGTGTTCCCCGCAAGACAAAACTTTGGGAACAGGCATTCCAGCAGCCCGGGCCATTTGCATCGCGGCAGCCTCCTCTAAACTCGTTCGGTCTGTCCACTTTAAGACCAGACCAAAGGGTAGTTGTATGATATGTGGGTCGAAGGGTATGGCGAACCATGAACAGTACCAGCCCGAAAATTGATACAACATTTCATGGAGTAGACCGCAGACTCTGCGTCTTGTTTTGCATGGAAGAGCTGGGATTCTAGGTGTCTCTTTGCATATTGACTGCATCGATCGAGGCCAGGTGAATTCTGGTCGTAAAAGAGACGGTATCCATCTGTATGACATACTATCATCCATTGTTAGTGTTGCACGATCCCATCTCCCATTGTTTGCTTGTAAACTAAGCAGCTTGTTAGAAGTAGTGTATAAGTACCCTGCTCTTTGCTAGGTTGAATAACAATGATTCCTCTTCCTCTTCCTCCCCTTTTCCTTCGCCAGTAGCTGTAATGGTAAGACTATGGGTTCCTGTGGGGTATCTCTTTATGAATGATTGCATCGGGTGCATTGAGTTATGGGTTGTTGTTCCAACATGACAAGTCCAGAGACAAATTCTTGGGAGATGAGGAGGACGACGAGAACGAAAAGGAGGGGGCGGTTTATACTCACAGGTGGGGACGTTATACCTTCCTAATTGATTTCAATGACCTGAGCCGTTCCAGGTTTCCAGGGTTTCATGGTTGGTACGCAAATACGTAGGGAAGGAACGGTTTGGGACAAATGGCCTGCAGTCCTACGATAGTGGCTGCCAAGATATTGAGGTTAAGGATTAATTGGGAAACAGTAAGCTCCAATCTTTGTACGGATGAAGTTGAATTGTTATGAGAAGTCACTTATATAGACCAAAGTATGCACCGTCGAATTACAAATAAAAAGGCAATCTTTCATCAAATGGGCCTGTGGTTTAGGGGTATAATACCCGCTTCGCACTACAGTGACTTGCGGGGGGTCCCGGGTTCAATTCCCGGCGGGTCCATTCTTTTTTGCTTTTTGTTTTCTTTTGGTCTCTGTATCTCTTCCATCTTAGTTTTATATTTTTGGTGTTTATTTACGTTCTTTTTTCAGTAAATTCTATTATGGTTTGGACAAACACTGTTATATAACGTATATTAAACCGAGATCATTGTGTTCTTTTCCGGTTAGTGTTTGATTTTCTAGGGTTTGAAACAAACATCCATCAATATATATATATATATATTGCACCTATATATGTCCTAACGTCTCCGCCGCAGCCTCTGATTTAACTCGAAAAATCTCAAACCCACCCTCATCTCTATCCTCGCCTTTCTGGGGCCATAGGATTTGTCGCGTCGCAACAGCTCGAACCATCATATAGCATACAAAAAAGTACATTAACAGCAACGGTAAGATCGCTGCACAACCAACAATTTCAATTGGCCGGCAGGAGAATGCCTTACCAATAGCAAAGGTAGCAGTGATCAAGGCAGTATTAGGGAAGACAAATGAAAACCAGGTCATTGAGAAGACCATGCGTCCATGCCCAATTGCCGACCAATGGGCTGCGCTTGCAATAATGAAGAAAAATATGGCCAACCTAGAAAAGAGTTAGACAAGAAAATATGTATCCAAGGAGGTAAACATACCCCCAAAGCCAAAGACATGAAAAATTAGCAACAATTCTCAACACATCAGCAGCCAGTGCCCCATTACCCATGAAATCGGCTGGAAATGACCTCTTCGTCTCCGCAGCCATAGTAACTAACCCGGCAACTGTGAACCCGCTCGGTCCCACAGAAACAAACATACCGGGACGGAGATTTTCCTTTGGAAGTTTCTGCGTCATTAACCGGTAGATGAAGGCCGAGTACACCATCAAAGAAACCAAAAAGCCAACTCCTTGGATAGTCATGCCGCCAATGATAACCGATAGAGACCGTGACGGTTCCAACTTCGCACTGAGGATTCCAGCATGCGGGCCGATAATGAGCATTGGATAAGCAGGGAAAATCCAGATAGGAGTCATCTGCGCGATCGTGAATGTCTGCGTTGACCAAAGGAGGAGGTAGATGCCTGCCGTGAACATCACGGCGAGAGTGGCATCGATCCAGAATAGTATACAGACTGCGCGCATCAACCATGGACCCGTGTTTTCGGGACCGTACTGTGATATGTTGATTAGGATCGTGCCGAAGGATACTATAGATGCGGGTACAAAGAGCGACTCTGTTGGATGCATGAACGACGCCTTGAATGTGTACGGATAATGATAGAACCGCACAAGCAGAAGAGCCCAGATGATGAGATATAAAGCAATATTGACCAGGAAGACAACGGTGCCAATCGTATCCAAGCCCTTGAACCGAAATGGAACTGGTTCTTGTTAGCTACGTTCAACCGAGCAGAATGAAATAGAGCATGCACACCTTGATATAAGACATTAGCGAGCCCACCTGTAGCCATAGTCAACGTGAAATAAGCCCAGGTGATATGGCGAATGCGTTTTTTCCAGCTCAGCTGGCCAGAAACTGTGCGCTTGAGCCCAAACAGGCCCAACCCGTTATGCTCTTGGCACACACTGGCTTTCTGTTCCGGATTCGGTTTCACAGTAGCCCGCGACGAGGCCCGCTGCAGTGCAGCCTCCAAGGCGGATGAATGGGCCTCACTAACCCCGCCATCGGGGCTTTCTTCAACGACTCCCATGATCGAAAGCGCCTGCTCAGCATCTTCTATCGTTGGCGTTCGGTACCCGTCTTCGCCAGGACTTCGCATATGCCGGGGAAGATCGGGTTCCATAACCATCACTAGTTACTGCAATTTGGCTCCAAGAGTGCAATAAAGACTGAATACAAGTGTTGGTAGCTCGAGCTTCCCCACCTCTCGTTCGGGGTTTCTATTATGCTGCCTGGTTGTGGATGATGGCATGGATGGTAGCAAGAGGGATATCAGAAAAAAGGCTTGGATGCTAGCATGCTAGGATAGGTTTCTGTTGAAGCCCGTTAATCGCGGTCGAAGAGCTCTGTAACGAAGAATAGACGGGGTCGTTGGGATTCGAGGATTGGCGTGCATTAATGTGGGGACCGATGGCAAGAATCTACCAGTGGCAATGGCGAACAGACTATTGATATTCTATTACATACAACGTTGTAAATATGTGAGGGTTTTGGCGCATTAATGGCATCAATGCCGTTTAAATCCCATCGTACCCCGAATATCACTTTCTGGTTCTCCGACACAGACGGGTGTCATTCGACCTTCGGGAATCGGCACGCAGCCGGCGCCGCTGCACGGTTTATGTACTTTGAACCGCCAATTTATGGGGACTAGCCACGTTTGAATAATGTTATTGTTTTCGTCTCCATGGTGGGCATTATGTATTTTGAAGAGGTCCTTTCGAATGCGCAGTTTCACTTTATCATTCCGAGGAGCTTGAACAATGCGACGCTCCGAAACAATGTCCAAGTAGGAAATACTAGTCACAAGTGGAAAAGGTGGAGAGAATCCAGTCCAATTACGGAGATTTTCAGAGATGAACATTGTAGACCGGATACGTGGATCCTCGGAAATACCAAGATGCAGCAAAAAAGGTGGAGTCTACGGAGTACTTTGACCTATTTTCCGATTTGTTAACTAATTTATATCCATACTCCATACTAGTTTTATGCAATCTATCATTCCACATCTTCAAGCCACTATTTATACTATAAACACCAAACAGGAAATAGGGCTTAGGGCTAAATGATATAAACAGTGAAACGGGGCCGAGGCATCGAGACCCCCGCTTGTTTACCAGCTTACTAGATGTACACGTAGCTATTCTACTACATCTTACTTCAAATCCATTGTTTCAGTCTATATACTACCTCAAATATGTCGGAAACAGACACTCGCAGATCAGTGCTTATCACGGGGTAAGTTACAACCTGCGGCATATATCAAACAACAGCTTCTGATATGTACCAAAGATGTTCCCCAGGTGGAATCGGCAACGCCCTTGCGCGCGAGTTTCACCGAAATGGACTGCGCGTCCTGGCCACCGCTCGCGATGCAGCAACAATCTCTGATTTGGCAGAACTCGGCATTGAAACCTTGAGCCTCACGGTTGATGACCCGGAGAATGTGAAATCGTGTTTTGCGGATGTTGAAAAGAGACTCGGAGAAAAGGGCCTCGATTATCTCGTTAATAACGCGTGAGTATCTTTTGACGTTTTACCCCTGGTACGGTACATCTGGCTAATATCCAACAGTGGTCGGAGTATGTAACGCAACTTCCGTGAATAATTTGAAGTACTATGTAGGTACTGATCACTGCAGATTACACCGTCCCCGCGATGGAAGTAGAGCTCACCGAGGTTCGCCAAACGTTCGAGACCAACCTTTTCGCGGTCATTACTATGTGCCAGACTTTCCTGCCCTTGCTTATCAAGGCGAAGGGTACTATTGTGCAGATTGGATCCATCGCCGGGGCAAGTTTGAGTATCTTCATCGCAAGATCCTATCTTACTAACAATGACTAGATCATTCCATACGTATTCGGCTCTGTCTACAATGCCTCCAAAGCAGCACTGCATGCGTTCAGTGACACGCTTCGCGTGGAGCTGGCTCCATTTGGGTTCGTTTGGCCCCGAAAATTCAAGATTATGCTGTTTGCTAACCAGGATCATAAGTGTCCATGTCACCACCATCGTTACCGGCGGTGTTCAATCTCGTATTGCACGTACTGATCGTACTCTGAAACCGGATTCCTTGTATTCCCCTATCGAGGCCGAATATCTTGTTCGTGTGAAGCATAGCCAACACAACGCTATGCCGAATGACACCTATGCTCGCAGTGTGGTCTCTCAAGTATTGTATGGCTCAGCTCCATGGCGCTGGTTGCCATGGGCTCGTGGTCGTAAGGCTTGGATCTGGGAGGGTCATGCTAGCTGGCTAGTTTGGACATTGTCGGGTGGCTGGGCTTGGTCGGGACTGTTTGGTCGGCTTATGACTAAAATGTTTAAACTTTGGAAGATTAAAAATGCCTCAGGCAAATAAGGGGTTTGATCTTGGTGGAATTTGTCAGTATAATATCCATGGATATAGTAATATATATATATATCTATATATCAAAACTAATATAAAAAAGAGAAAGTAAAAAGAGAAGTAAACAAGTACCGACTTTGATAGCCATATGTTCCGTTATATTCGCGTTGTCCCCGGACCGATGCTGAGTCAGGACGGGAACGATCGCTGGTTGGCTGTGGCACCCGATTTTAACGCAACGCAAGGTCATCCCGAAAGCAAGTGAAAAAGAAAGCTGTTCTGTTCCCTAACAACTATCTAAACGGGCTTCATACCTCCGCCCTTCTACAATTTCCCCCTCTCTCCTCTCCTAATTCCATCATGTTCAAGCTTGCTCGCGGTAGACCCGTTGCGGCGGCTTTCAAGGCTGCGACAGTGTGTTATATCTCTGAACTCGGGCTGCGCTCGTTCCAAGTTTTATGTGAATATAAGCTAATTTTGCCTTTGAAAATAGCAACCTTCCATCCAGAGCAGACTCGCTGTGCAGAAGCGAAACCTTTCCATCCATGAGTACCTCTCCGCCAGACTCCTGAAGACAGTATGTGCACCCGCGTTCCCCCTTCGGTCGCTCCAAAAAAAAATGGGACTCGGGATCGCTGATCAAATAATCTAGTACGGTGTCGGTGTTCCCAAGGGTGATGTCGCCAACACTGCTGAAGAGGCTGAGGCCATTGCCAAGTCCATCGGTAATAACAACCTACTGATTTACCCCTTTGAACGCGATTGCTGAACATTACAGGTGGTGGTGATCTTGTTATCAAGGCCCAGGTTCTCGCCGGTGGCCGTGGTAAGGGTCAATTCGACAATGGTCTCAAGGGTGGTGTCCGTGTGATCTACTCGTGAGTTGAACAAATTCGAGAACAGTTGGGGAACAATGAAACTGATAGATATCTTTGCAGTCCCACCGAGGCCAAGATGTTTGCTGGCCAGATGATCGGTCACAAGCTCGTTACCAAGCAGACTGGCGCTGCTGGCCGTATCTGTAACTCGGTCTACATTTGCGAGCGCAAGTTCGCTCGCCGTGAATTCTACCTCGCCGTCCTCCTTGACCGTACCACCCGTGGCCCCGTCATCGTTTCCTCCTCCCAGGGTGGTATGGATATCGAGGCTGTCGCCAAGGAGAGCCCCGATGCCATCATCACCACTCCCATTGATATTCACGTCGGTGTAACTGACGAGATTGCCCGCACCATTGCCACCGACCTTGGTTTCTCCGAGCAGTGCATTGAGGAGGCCAAGACCACCATCCAGAACCTCTACAAGTGCTTCATGGAGCGCGATGTTACCCAGCTTGAGATCAACCCCCTGTCCGAGACTTCCGATCACCAGGTTTTGGCCATGGACGCCAAGCTTGGATTCGATGACAATGCCGAGTTCCGTCAGAAGGAGGCTTTCTCGTGGCGCGATGTTTCCCAGGAGGATGCCGATGAGGTCAAGGCCGCTGAGTAGGTTGCCCTGCTGGAAAAAAAGCCAAAACAACGTTAACTGACTTTTTGTCCTTTTACAGGCACGGTCTCAACTTCATCAAGCTCGATGGTGACATCGGCTGCCTCGGTAAGGTTCCTTATGATACCTCAAAATATTGCTATTCTAATTATCGCTTTTAGTCAACGGTGCCGGTCTCGCCATGGCCACCATGGATATCATCAAGCTCAACGGCGGTAGCCCCGCCAACTTCCTCGATGTCGGCGGTGGTGCCACCCCCGCTGCCATCAAGAGTGCCTTCGAGTTGATCACCAGCGACCCCAAGGTGTCCGCCGTCTTCGTTAACATCTTCGGTGGTATCGTCCGCTGTGACGCTATTGCCCAAGGTTTGATCAACGTCGTGCAGGAGATGAACCTGCGCACTCCTATCATTGCCCGTCTGCAGGGTACCAACATGGAGCAGGCCCACAAGCTGGTATGATTGCAGTCCCCGTTTCCCCATTCTTTGCCATGATGTAAACTAAACAAATCCTTCACTTTCCAGATCAACGAGTCCGGCCTTAAGATCTTCTCCATCGAGGACCTCCAGAACGCCGCCGAGAAGTCCGTCCAGTTCTCCAAGGTCGTTAAGATGGCCCGCGACATCGACGTTGGTGTTGAGTTCACCCTCGGCATCTAAAGGGTTTACTCTTTTTGTTATAATGATAGAGAGGGTAGGGAGCATTTTCATTTGCCTTATTCCTGGGGCTAGCGAACCGAACCGAACCGCCGCAGTGACATCTTAGAGAAATCTTTGTAATGCTTTGCGCCTGTTCCTGTGTCATTTATTTTCTTTTTACCACTGTATTCTTGAGTGTTTCTATGACCTAGATCAGTTCCTAATTAGGATAGTGAGAGTTGACATATTGATCTCTCATTGTTTTAGTGTTAGTTCTTACTGTAAAGTTCATGTAGGGTAGATGGGGTGCTTGAGTGGGAATGTCTTGATTGGGCTATATAGCAATGGATGCATTGGGCTTCCCTGAATATCTGGTACTTCCAAGATTAACAGCTCAAAGCTGGTCATATTTTGTTTATAGGACTATTGATTGATAGAGCATCGACGTTCTAGGAACATGGAATACGGGGAGGCGTCTTCACGATCTCTGAGTTTTTGTTTAAAAAAGGATAGGAAGTCACTTAATGGCGAAGTCCTGTAGTTACATGGAGGGACAAAGTGGTAGGAGCCCTGGAGTTGAGCCTCGCTTACCGAGGGTCGCTTTCCCAGGTTGGCAGCCGTGGACCTTATTCAGACCTCACCCTAAACTTCCTTCTTTATCTTCTCAAGTATCTTCAGCAATGTCTCTTTAGAAAATCTCTTTTTCTTCTATTTGGTCTGGTCCAACATGTCCTCACATGTCCAACCAATTCTCGAAGGCTTTACGGCTCTCCGTGACAGTTCAAGCCGGCGAGCAGTGTATGTCCCAAGTCCAATATTCATAACCAGCTCTGAGCGTTAATCCAAATAGGATCAATGGGATTATTAGCAACCTGAGTGATTACGAGATACGAGATGTGATACGCCGACTCGGAGGGATCACATTTCGATGTGATTTGCTCGATAAACTGCCTGAGGAAATCGTCGTCATGATAGCAGAGTACTTGGAACTAGCCGATATTGTTCTTCTTAGAAGAGTATGCTAGCAGTTATCTGAATATTTGTGACCTCTATTGACGTATTTATGTTACAAAGGTCTCCAAACGATGGCATGAATTGCTCTCTTCAACCACCGTCGTCACAGCTGCAATCATATCCCATATGGGGAAAAATGCAATGAAGCCCGGTTTGACCTCTGCTGATCTCGAAGCGCTGATCAGAAAGCGAATTCGAGCAGAAAGGGGAAAGCCTGCTGTTGTAACTACAATACCTAATAACCTGTCTTTCAATTTAGAGTACAGCATGGACAGAGACGGCATGAGCTGTTTCAATGGAGTATGCGCGTGGATTGAAGATTCCACCAAGCAGACTACTATCTTCATGTTGCATCTACGGACTGGTCAAAATAGGACCCTCACAACAGCGAATCGGGAGAAATTTACTCATATTCAGGTCTCGGACACCTTGATCTCAGCCACTTCTATTCGGGGGTATGTAGCTGGAAAAGGAATCTCGCTCTATTAAATGTGCTTCTGACTGGACACACTAGGTATTGCCATGTCTGGAATATGCCCAAAGAACAGTACAAGTCCTTTCGCATTCCTTCACTGCAATTTGCGCATTACATATCCATCGGATCCAAGGTAGTGCTGAGCTATGAGGACTCAGTAGTTCACTTCTGCTTTGACTCTGGAGTCGCCCGTTCCGTCCGAATTGGGCCGTTCATTCTTTTGTTGTCAGTACATGCAGAGGAAGATGCATTCACTGTATTTTCCCTCCGCAGAAAAGATCGCGACAACATCGAACTCCCGAAAGATGCCCAATTGCGTTCGGATGAGCATCATTTGAAGGCCCAGAAATTCTCTGTCCTCGAGACTAAGTTTATCCGCAGCTGGGTGCGATATCGAGAGCTTCCTTTTAGAGATGGCTCATTATGGCAGATTCGAGCCAAACCAGGAGATTCACAAGCGTTGAAAACTAGGCCGCGTCCTGGTCAGAGCTCTGCCTTGCTGTCGAATTCGTATGGTATGAACAGACGTTTGGATTCGATTTCTCTTTCACACAAGGCCGATGATCAGATTACTGCGCATTTCCATCCTGTTGAGGTGGATCACATGGCTCAGCACGTCGATCTAGACTACTCAGCCGGGGGTCCCGGGTTGAGTTATTATTTCGAGGACTACTACCCCTTAGGGGAAACAAGATTGTGCATTGGTCGTGAAATCCCGGAGCTCACAGATGTCATCGACGTCAAGGGGTATCGATTCCAACACACACAAACAGTAGATTTTCCGAATAACTGGCCAGCCATGTCAATTGCAGGAGATGGAGACTTTGTTTTATTGCCCGATGATGACAAAATCTGGATATGGTGCTTTGATGAGACATGGATCCCCTTTGATATCTCATATGAGGTCGGGGTTGCCGCTTGATAGTTCGACAGTTAATCCGCTAATCAGTCAAGATGAATGTGAAAATGAAATTTGAGCTGTTCAATTTCATTAGACCGTATAAAATAGAAAGAAAGTAAAAAGTAGGAATCCGTTGAAGAAACCATAACTAGTTTAACCCCGTCAAACCCAGGCACTAGCGGACAATTGCAGTCAATACAAGCTCCTCAAGTAATATTGTATATATGTAGTTAGGGAGTGCGGAGTACACCGACAAGGATTAGAAGGATATAAAAGAAAAGAGTAGTCAATACGAACAAATTTTGGATTGTCTTTTCAGAGCTGGTGATAGGTTGAGATGTCATAATTAGGGGTAATCTAAGAATATAATAATAGAAATAGTTAAGTGTTCTGAGTAGATAGCTCTACAGTATGAATTTAAGAGTTAAATGCCTCAAGCTTTATTATATTTTGATATATTTTGAATATATAGTGTTTATAAAGTGTTATATACAGTGCTATATAATGTTATATTGGTTATAGTAGTATTTAAGCTAATATGGGCTATAAGAGAGGGTAGAGGTTTGGCAATTAAAGTACATGTACACTTCACCCCCTTTTTTTCTCTGAATAATCCAGTAATCCCAGTTATCCCAGACATCCCAGATACATTAATAGCATCCAATTGGTCTTCTCTTCTTTTCATCCCTGTATAACTTCTATTTCTGCAGATCTGACTGTCAACGCATTTCCGGCCCCCTTCCCCGCAGAGCCCTCTCTTTCTCTTAACCTTCCAGACACTTCGAGACCCTATTTTTTTTTTTTTCCTCTCTCACTTTTTTTTTTTCTATCACTTTTTACCTCTGATAATAATCCAATTTTTACGCGATGACAGAAGTGTTGATTATTGGTTGATCTTCCACGTTCTTTCGGCATAAACGGTCGCGTCTTCCACCCCTCACGATCCCGTCGCATCCACCATTTTGTGTCTACATATATACCCACTCCCTCCGATATGAGTCGTCTTGCCGACCCTCCTTCTACTAGGATTTCATTTGCCGGGGTACCAGACGCCCCGGGCAGGACACGAAACATTCCTGTACTTTCGTCGTCCGGTCAGCATTCGATGGATATCACCCCTCCGCCTACGGGCGCGCATGGGAATGAAGACCGAATGTCTGGAATCACCAATGGTACTGAAGCTGGAAATGCTTTGAATGCTTCAAATCCGGCCATCGGTGCTGCAGCTGCAGCTCAGCAGCCAAAAGTCGTCCAAACTGCTTTCATTCACAAGCTTTACAAGTATGTTTTCGGTCTTCGTGTTTTGTCTCCACGAGCTCACATTTTTTTTGGCAGTATGCTAGAAGACCCCGGTATCCAGCATCTGATCTCTTGGTCAGGTACAAACGATAGCTTCGTCATGTCACCAACGTCGGAATTCTCCAAAGTTCTAGCGTGCGTGCAATCCTCTCTGCCAGTAGACTCGTCTCTGACCCTCGCAGATCGTACTTCAAACATACCAATATCTCCTCGTTCGTTCGGCAGTTGAATATGTATGGGTTTCACAAAGGTTGGTGTTTCGCATGTTAGCTTTGATTGGGCAATTTCTGACCATTCTTGACTCTGCTAGTGAGCGACGTCTTTCACACCGGATCCCCAGATTCCGCGCTCTGGGAATTTAAACATGGCAATGGGAACTTTAAAAGAGGCGACCTAGCTGGTCTACGAGAGATCAAGCGCCGTGCTTCGAGGCATGCTTTGATCCACCGCGATTCATTCCCTGGCCACAAGGCGCCTGCTTCGCAGCCTGGAACACCCGCTGAACCCGTACCTGATGCGACCGATGCTAGATTCCTGAACATTGAGAGCAACCTCTACGAGATGCATGGTCGTCTGGTTCGGGCGGAAGAGGGCAATATCGTACTGAACTCCAGATGTCATGCTATGAGTGAAAGCCTGACAAAGTGCTACCAAGTATGTCCGCCGTCTATGCCAGTGCGGGTGTATCGGTGCTAATCTGATTTCAGTGGACACATTCGATTTCAAGGTTTCTACAAGCTGTTGTTCCCGATAGGGAAAGCCCTCTACATCGCGATGGTATGTCGATATTGCCGCTTCACTTATGGTGTCACGCGCTGATCCTCCCTAGTCTCGAGCATGCAAAGAGAGGTTGAGAAGCATATCGAAGTTATGCGCGCCATGGAAACCCCCCACGAGACTCTTATGCCTCCACGTCAACAGTACTTAGCCAACATGACCGAAGCTGGTCCACCTTTGTCCCCGCGCCAAATGCCCCAGGACGATACCCGTCGACAGTCCGTGATGGATCATACCCCTAGACCCAGCAATATGATTCGGCCGCCCGTCCCTCCTCATCTCTCAGTATCCCCCCGCCGCTACGGCTCGATTGGCGGCGCCAATTCTGCCTCGGCGTACGCTCGCCCTCAACCTCCCGTTGCGCCGCCCTCACAGCAACCAATGCCTCATCCTCTCTCCGTCTCAACATCTCCAGGGCCTAACTTGGCCCGTCGCCACACGTCTGCAGACATCCGACAGCACGGCTGGTCCCCCTCGGCCGGCTCTCCTTATCCCCCTGGAAACCCTCCAAACGGCCCTTGGCCTTCATCACCAGGGCACCGAACACCAGTCTCCAGTGACCAGCAAGTTCGTGACGTCCTCGCCCAATACGAAATGGGTGCTCCCCGCCGCCTTCAGGAACAATCCCGCCATGCCACTCCACCCACTGCCGAGCCTTCACCGTCCATGCTCGGTGTCGACAACGGCTGGACGCTTGGTGGCTCAAGATTTCCTCACGGCTCTTCGTTGCCCGCAACCCGTCGCTCGAGCATGGCAAGCAACGTGCATTCATTGCTCAATCCTGCCGATACTGCTGAAAGGCCCGACGAGGACCAGCAGGCGATGGCCGAAGACCGTAAGCGGAAAAGGTTGGAATAAATCCTTAAATATTGGAACATTCACGGCATCCATCTTCCACTGACCGTGGTATTACATTCTCTGTCTCCCATCAAGTCCCTATACCTCTGACAAGCCCTGTCACTCTCCCCTTCCCTAGATCTTCTGACCTGCATATGTACCATTGACCGGAGCAAAGGACACTCATCTCCAGACATTGGAAGAATGTCGGCAGCTCTGATCTCTATCTTTAATTGCGCCTGTAGATGTCCCTTTCCCCCATTTCTTCACCTTTCATCTCTTCTATTTTTGGATATTTAATTCTGGCGAAGGCACGCTAATTTTGGCACCTGGCCCATGGCTGTCCGGGGTATCCATATTTCGTTCACACAGCATATCACATATATACCCTTGGGTTGGGCGGAGCAACAAAAACATTGAATCTTGTGGTACCTAGAGCAAGAGACTGAAATTGAATTGTATTCTATATTTGCAGTTTGATTATATCAATTGGATGTTTTTTCTCTGCAGACTGTTTGATCTTGGCATTTTGGAGTAGCAGAGGGCACAATATGACAACTCAAGTTGCCATGTGAGTATTGATGTAGTCTTCCTGTGTCTAGCCAAGGGACACTGCGCTGTAGTCCCTGCCGCTGGTAGAGTGAGGCGCTGGCAGGCAAGCCCGCTTTGGCCGGCATGAATTATCCCCAACCTGAATCGACGGCCTGATGGGCCGTGTCCGGCGCATCCAGAGCGACCAATATCAAAGCCTAATGAATTCCAGAGAACCCAGAGCGAACGAAAGCTCGTGAAACGCTCGTGTGCGTGCGAACATAGAATCGAACCTATCAACCACAGATCCTCACTTCTTCTTCCTCTTCTTGGCACGCTCAGCCAAAAGCTCATCAAGATAACTCGTCGCCTTCTTCCTGCCCTTCCGAGCAGGAGCCTGAGCTGGCGCACTTTCACCCTCACCATTCTCACCACCTTGATCTCCGGCCTCAGCAGCCGCGGCAGCAGGATGCACCGCCCCAGCCCCACCCTTCCTCTTATTCTTCTGTCTAGCAAGCATAGCTGAGCGACCATCCTCTTCATCATACTCCTCCTCGACCTCAGCTTTCACAGTGCTAGCTGAAGCAGATGCAGCCGCCGCCATAGAAGCAGCCGCCGCGGCCTTCTGCTCTGCGGCGGCCTTCATAACACGATCATAGTTCTTGCCGAGGAGTTGTTTGCGCAGTTTATCATTTGAGTCCAGCTCTGTGCGGTTCCAGCTTCCGTCTGCTGCTTTCTGGGGGAGGGGTGCACCGACGCCGAGGCTGTGATTTGGGTGGTTAGTTGGTGGCTTGTAGTATATTTTGTGGAATTGACAGATGGTGAGGGCTAAGGCTGGATTGTAGGTGGAAGTCTGGGGCTGTACTTACGTCTCTGGCACTGCGGTGAATATTTCATCTTCTTCTCGTTGGAGCTCTTCGTCGGTCTTGGGGTTTGCTAGCTCTTCTGGTGTTTGTTGCGGTAGCCATGAGGCTACTAGCCGCTGGCTGCGGGATAAGGCGACGTTGGCCCGATTGAGAATCACATCGGACTCGGCTTTAGAGAGCGACATGTTGGTTTCTTTGTGCTCAATATCGAGTTATTGGATTTCAGTCGGTCTTTTGCGGTTGGGATCTATGGTCACTTTTTTTTTGCCGATATAGCGGAGGCGGTGAATAGTGAAGTATAAATCGTGTTGAGTGGCTATGTTGAGTACTTATTGAGAGATACTTCGATGCTAAATAATTTATAATAGGCTAAGCTATAGGACTTTAGATATAGCAGGATATGCTATCTATATATCCATTTTTTTGAATGTTAGAAGTTCAGATAAACCATGTTACACATAGATGGGTCGATTGAAATTGAAATCAAAACAGGAAGGAATAAGGTCAATATGAATGATAGATGAGAATAGATGAAAATAGACCCTGAGACAAATACTCAAGGAGTATGGGATATACTTATGCAATTAATGGCTACCCACAACATTGATATATCTACCAGATCGAGATCCAGGTATTCCGTTGATATAACTTGTCATGATAATTTGATTGCTTGTTTAATTTCAACTATAATGAGAAAATAGAGCCTGTCTGATAGATTTCCCTCGCTTTCTGTGCGCTTCATGCACAAACCCAATTGTATAAATACCAATCTGATATCAATATCCATCAACGCGGTCCTTCATGCCCCCAAAACCCTTACAGAATCATAGCTTCAGTAACTCAGTGATGGCATGAGCTAACATTGGGAATGAACGCTCGGCTTTAGTCTAACCATCAGTTTTGGTTTGTTCCATAGCACAAAACATTCTTGATCCATCCAGTTTTGTTCGGGCTGGTCCAATTCCATGTCGAAGTTGAAGACCATGCGAGCAAGGATTATACGCATTTCGACATATGCCAAACTAGAGAAATATATATGAGCAAACAGCGAGTATAAATGGCAAATTAAGAACTTACTTGCGCCCAATGCAGTTCCTGGGGCCAGTACTAAACGGTTGCATTGCCGTCTTACTGTCATCTGCAAAGCGAGGATCATCCAAATGACGCTCTGGGATAAACTGCTCTGGACTGGTAAAATTGGCAGGGGAGTGACTGGCAGCTAGTTGAGAGACGGAAACAACTGTCTATAAACTTGTAAGCAGTGCTGAGCGACTTTGCGAGCATCTTTGTACTTACTCCACCGGGCACCCAGTTTCCAGCAATCATATCACCTTGGGAATCAACAATGCGAGGCAATCCAACTGGGACGGGAGGATACACTCGAAGAGCCTCGGTGAGGACAGCCAGGCAATACTCTAGTTTATTGCATGACTCCAAGGTGATCTCTTTCTCTGTCGTAAAGGCTGATCTAATCTCATCTTGGAGCTTTTTCAGCACGCGTGGGTTCTTCAGCAGAAGATAGGTCACTCCAGAGAGCACTGTCGCAGTGGTTTCTGAGCCGGCAATGATCAAGCTACTACCGGTGGCGATCATTTCTGGGACACTGAATCCTTTCTCGGTGTTTTGATGCTTCAAGATGTTGCTGAAGAAATCTGGTCTTTCATTAGACTTGGATATCCGGCCATGGACCTTTTCTTTTGTCAAGGCTAAGTGTGTATTCCTCCGCAAGGAAACATGCTTGGGCATGATGCATGGGAGGATGTATTTCGATCCAGGGAGACGCCGAGACACATTTGTATAAGCTCCATACTTGAGCGAGGTGAAGATGATGGATACCCATTGGTGGTAATTTGAATTTTTGAGACAGTCAAATGGCTCCCCGAAAGCCAGGTCTCCAATGATATCAAAGGTTGTGAAGTTGTACCAGGCCACCATGTCAACGGCCTTGGTTCCATCCTTGATATTCTCATGTAGGCGCTGCATCAAAAGATCAACATAGCCCATGATTATAGGTTCCTGACCGCGCAGTGAGTTATCAGAGAATCCGTGTGACAACAAGCGACGAAAGCGGGAATGGTCGGCATCATTGGAGACGATGATGCCGGGAGCTTCTCCAGCAGATGGTGCGTAGAACCGATAATCTTTGGGTTTCTGACCATGGCCAGCACGTGTGCCATAAATTGGCTTCCAGGCCGCACCGTCTATAAAAGAAAGTTCATCTGGGGCAATGCGAACTACATCGCCGTACTGTTGATGCAGTACTTTCGTCTTTTGTGCGAACCGGCCACCCAGGATCATGCGGATATAAGGTATACGTGTGGCTGCCATGGACTTTGGTCCAGGATACTTGGCCAGAGGGTGAAAGTAGACATTATAGACTATAAGACCGATGAGGTAAAGTGGGATCTATTACAAGCAATGCCTTAGTTAAATTGCATTGAAGCCACCTGGTAGAACATTGTTCACTTACCAATGTCAAGCTCAGTTTTAGCAAGGCCAGAGCTATATTTGCAAAGTCTTGCATGATTGGAAGTGTCGAAGGACCAGGAGTAACCGCCATGATTGGGGTTATCATAAGGAGATTCAGCTTCCACACCCGCGACATTGTAAGGATACTTATACTCCTCCTTTCCCCTCCTGTCACTCTCACTTGTGTGACATGAAAAATAATGTCTTGAAACCTGTTCATTATAATTTTATGAATCGAGACCCCGCTCTCTACACGTCAATGATTCCGGTTTAACAAGGGTCCCTGTACATGATGCATACATAGTCTCGCAGACTAGTTTTGACCCAAGGAGATATCAAGAGAGTCCCAGCATTGGCTCAAAGAGCATTTGCCTCCCATTTATAGAAATTACGAGTATATATTCACCTAGATACTTACAATGCTTATTCATTTTAAACAGGAATCAAGCGTTGGAGTGTCGTATACTCGATACGCCATTGGACAAGCTAGATACCAAGCTACTGCAGGTAGTACGTTGCACATATCACAGGATCTACGTATACATGCCTGCATGTATGTCTTTTATGCGGAGATTAAAACATACTGATTGTAACATAAAAATTATGTTTATTTGATCAACCCTACCTTATACAGCCTATAGGTATCTTCTCGGACGTTCGGGCGTTCGGAGGTTCAACTTATGATCATAGTCACAAATATGCCTGCAACATTTTTGAATTTCCAAGAAATGATATGTGAGATATTAAAACATTCTGTTTTGGGGTCAAAACCTGTTCCCAACAGGGCAGTGGTTTAATGGCAGCGCGAAGGCCAGGTATTCCGAGGCTAGCGCATGAATGGAACAGGACTATACGTACAAGCTACCTCTTTCTCAAACCCGTTGATTTCTGCCGGGATCAGTTTATCTATTGGGTCTTCAGATAATTTGAAATGTCCACCCAGTGTCACACGAAATACCAATCCTTAGGGACCTACACCGAGTACAAATTACAATTCCTAGTACTATCTTCACGAACGGGATATAAAAAGGTCATGGCATCATTTAAGATCTTATATACAGTCTATCTCTATACCATGTACTATGTCTGATGCGCTCTAGACACAGGTTCCCCGATTCCTTCCAACGTAGTATAACACAGGGTATAAAACTCAACAAGAAAATATTAGCCCGATGAGCTCACGTTGTAACATCCTTTTGATGTTTCGCCCGCAACTTTTTCTCCGTTTTCATGAACTCTCGGATACCAACAGGAACATTCGCAAATAAATCGGCCTCTTGACTCGGCATAGTCCAATTTGCTTCGCTACCACCGCCATCATCATCCATGCTGGTACTGGCTGAGTGGACTTCCGCTCGAGGTGCCGTGCGCATGTCCTTCGTTCCCTTCTCAGGCCCACCTTTAGCTTTGGCCGTTGCAATCCTGGATGCCCAGTCTTCCATTTCATCCCGGAAGTCATCCCAGACACAGTGTACACATCCACTCATGCAGCAATTGTCCGGTTCCTCGGGTTGGGGAGGAATGGGGACTCCATTGATAGTCTTCCACGTTGACACTGGAGGAGCTTCACCAGGATTATAGCGCGAGGTTCGGCCTGGACCGGCGAGAGGGGTGCCAAATACGATCGCCATTTTTTCCTGGGGCGATTGCGGTGCAACAGTAGATGTCGGCGTCGGTTTGGCCTCGGGCCGAGCGGGCGTCGGGCGCGATTTCAATGCATCACCACCATATGGTGAGTTCGACTTCAAGATCAATGAATAGTATCCCGATAGTGGATGGGCTTGAGGAGTGTCCGCAATTTCCTCTAGGGAGGCTGGAGTATCATAGGCATCTGGTTGGTCGGGTTGGCTGTGTCCGTTCATGCGCCGGGGTGTCGGAACTAGCACAAATTGTCGATATGAAGCAAATGAAGGAATGGTTCTGCTAGGGAAAGAGTGAAGTTGAGATATAGACCTCCGCAGCGAGTATTTAGCACCCGCTGAGAGACACTCCATGGTGTGAGTTGAAGAAAGACAAGGACAATTCGTGGAGGGGAGATTAAGTCATAGTACAAACACTGCAAACAGGGGACTTGTTTATCTTCCCGTCATCTGCGCCCCGGGCACGACGAAGCACCCCACGCGACAATGGATTCCCCAGCAAAAAAGCGGAAGACTAGCGACACTACAGGCATTTCGGTGGCACCGGAGCTTCCTAAAAATGACCCCCATCGGTCAAGAAGACCCTCCTTTCAGTCTCCAACGAGGGCCAGTCTCGCCCGATCACATCCCGATGTATTAGAGCGCGCAATCAGCAGATCGCCTGCCCGACGACCAGCAAGCAAGGACAGCGGGAAGCAAGATCCTCGGAAATTTGGATTGCGCGATCGCAAAGCGCTCCGACCCTCGCTCAATGCCTCAGCAAGTCCCCTCACTCGACCTCGGGGCTCCGAAGCGCCCGAAAGTTCCCCCAACAGACGCTCAAGTGGCGTCCAAGCGTTTTCAAAACCCCCGCGCAGAATTTCAAGAAGGATTCTCCCGGGAGATTTCGTGTTTGGGTCCCCAATGCCACAGCCGAAAAACCCCGACTCGAATACACCCGAGCGTCAGTTGGAATTGGAACTGGGCAGCGCCACAAGAGAAGCAGAGATGGATATGGGTCCGGACCCTGGTCTTATGGATGAAGATATCCTCGAACCTGATCTTCCACCCACGCCAACTCAACTCGGTTTGGAGAAGGCCCCGCATCGGCCCAGGGGGATGTTGAGTAGCAGCCCTAGTAGGCGACAGGAGAAACGACGGACTGCCAATGCATTGCACGACAGCCCGTTGAAAGCAGTGGACTTCCAATCCCCTCCACCTGAATATTTGGAGGCAGTTTCAGACCTGGGTGCAGTTTCAGCGGCCGTTCGCGAGAAACGCAGTTCACGCGAGAAGAGCGCTGCGGAGCTGCGACGGCTAAAAAACGAAGTTAAAGAACTGGAAACATGGGCAAAGAAAATTGAGTCTAATCCTGACTTGAAAGGCGACAACCGAGGACTCGACAGATTCCTGTGGGTTTCACAAGTAGCTTTGGCTTGAACATTGCTAATAATCTATAGATCTTTGCTCACATCGGAAGAGGCGAATCGTACAAGTCTCCCAGTGCCCCAAACAGCTCCCAAATCAATATCATCACTCTTATCCACTTTACTCCCGTTCTCTGCCAAACTATCTCGCCCAAAACGTGAATCATCACCGCTGCCAACAAATCCATTTGCCCTGCAAGAAGCCTCTCAATCACTGCCATACCTAACAGCATTCGCACCCTTGACCCTCAAAACCCGCACAATTTGGGCGTCACGTAGGGAGGAGCCGTTAGAGACACACACATTGACATTTTCTCCTCCATCTCCATTCCCTGCCAGTTTATACAACGTGACTGTTGTCTATGAGACAAATCCGGAGACCCAGTCCGTGACCTCTCTATCAGTGCCTACTGGCAGCGACAGCAAGAAAAGAAAAGTCCCCGAAGCTCTCCGTCGATGGATTGATACTCGCTTAGAGAACCCTCTCTTGAAACTTGACGTGGCAACTCTATGCTGGGGAATTAACCGGTACTGGGAATCTGCAATCGCTCGCGCACGTTTGTGGGCACACATCGACCAGAAATACGGCCCTCGGGCTTCACAGGGCAGAAAGAATACTGTCTTGGAAAGCAAGCACGGCGTTATCACACTTTCTGAACTGCGACGATTGGTCCCGCATTTAGATCGGAATGCCATGGTCATCAAACCTAATTCTGACGCTAGCCCCCGAGTGCTCTTGTCAAATACTTTGGTGTTGGATGAATGGACCGGAGAACCTCAGCTGCGGCCTGAGATTAGCGTGTCGATCCCTGGGGTAGATAAGAAAATCGATCAGGAGACAAAGAAGCTTTTCCAAGCGCTGCTACGGGAAGATGGATTGGGCATGCGAGGTGTGGAGGGTAGTATCCATGTTGATGTGGTGCTAAGGGCGACTGAAGGTGCTCTTGGTGCTTTGTTTGGTCTTTGATTTTTTATTTTTGGTCTCCGGCGCGATTGTCAGTGGACATTGGAGCGGGGATTTAGCGTAGTTCTCTGAAGATACCCGAGCAATAGCTCAGACCGCAAGCTTTAATGTTAACGATTTTTCTAAGACGAGCTGGACGATAGCTGTAGTAATAGTCACTGTATTGCCATCCGTGGATATGCTCGTACACATGATATATACATGCAGAATGCTATCATTCGAAGGTAGTATTTTATAGAAAAGCTACAAGCTATGCCACGAAATGATCTACAAGTCTTTCAATGGTGTCGCTGGAAGCCCAAGATACAAGACCTGGACTACCAGCTGAACAGCCACAAAAAGCACTAGATATACAGGCACAAAGCCAAGATTGAGAGAATTGGGCGGTTTTGAATTTCGAGAGATCTTCCGAGTTCTTTCTTTTAGAGACAAAAAGGAGTAAAAGTTGGGGAGGGAGAGAGGGAATCAAGGAAGAGGCGCAACGCCATGCCACAGTACACTAATCCCCGATTCGAAAACCGACCCGATCATCATCATCAGCACGAGGAGGGAATTAACACATTTATTTCTTGGCATTGGCCTCATCTTCAGCCTTGGTACGGGCACGCTTCTCGCGCATACCCTTGTAGCGGGCCTCAGCGCGGGCGTCACGGAGACGACGGTAAGCAGCCTCCTCACCCTTGGGGAGCGAGTCGCGCTTGACCTCGGTAACGGCCTCAGCAGCGGTGGGGTTGGTGATGGGGAAGGTGGCCTCGACACGGGTGGCGATGCCGTCACGCTTGCCCTCAGCGACGGTGGCCTTGACGGCCTTGACTTCCTCAGCGGAGGAGTCGAGCTTCTTGAACTGACCGCTCTTGCGGGGGAAGAGGATCAGGCGAGCCTTGTAGTCCTGGAGACGGGCGACGTTGGCAACAAGGGACTCCTTGGAGTAGTTGGTGCGGCGGTGGTCAACGGAGATACCGACGGTGGGAGCAAGCTTCTTGGGGATACCAGCTTCCTATAAAGCGCAAAAAAAGAGTTCGAGTCAGTGAATTGTTTTCTCCATAGTGCCTCCACTTTCGATGCGGCTCAATTTACCTTCAGCTCAGCGAGGGTGAAACCACGACCGGCACGGACACGGCGGTTGTACTTGATGGTGGGGCATCGGACAACGGGACGCAGCTTGTCAACCGGACGGGGAGCAACAGCAGCCGCCTTAGCGATGCGGGCCTCACGACGACGGTGCTTCCGGCCGGGCTGTACGATTCATGTTAGTCGGCCAAATTCATATCCTGCGAAGAAAATTTTTCCTTGATTTCGAGTTGGTTGCGATATCGTTTGGAATAAAAAAAATCTTCTCTGGTCGGGGGAGGTTGGAGAGTCGTACCTGGTCGAAGTGCACACGGACACGACGCTGCCAGTCCTTGTGGAAGTCTAATCAAGAATTCGTTAATCACTGTTCCTGTCTGATTTTCCATGTCTTTCGGTTTGAAGCGATCACATAGAAGTGCAAAGCGACGGGTCACTCACGGTTCTTCTGAATCTGGTTGTTGTGCTTGATCGCCTATATATCCCACACACAATCGGTCAGTCAACCATTTCTTTCATTTTCGAGGCGTATTTCGATCCATCGATTTCTCTCAATCGCACATGTCGAATCCTTCATTGTATCTTCCAAGCAGGGATAGGGAACGCACCATGGTGACGGATGGGGATCGAGCCGGGTGGTGGTCGTCGAGGGTTGCTGGTCAAATCCTCCTTCACGGCAGAAAATGAAGTTCCCATTTTTCGTGTGGCCGCCCGCTGACTGGCACACCGCCTCGCTTAGCGAGCCCTAACGAAGCCGAATTCGGTAATCTGCCAGAATTATTTTATTATTTTATTTTATGTTGTATTTTATGATCTTGCTATGATATCAAACCTTAGGAATGGAATTGGAGTTCAATGGAAATATTGGATGCATTCCATTGGTCCTCGACTTTTCCATAGATTGCTATCATATAATTCGTTATTGATCTCTTAAACACTCTATTTCCTATTGTACATTGTACCATCCCTTCAAATTCCGAAATCCCATCTATAGCTAGAGCTTGTTGGTTTTCATTTGAAGTCTGTAAGGACCGGTACACAACAGTCAGCCATAATTCCCATACCGAAAAGTCAATTTAATAACGCCACATGCGAAGGGCCATGGATCACTGTCGCATGGCCTCTTCATACAAAAGTTCCCCAAAAGAATATCAGTCGCTAGTTTGAAAACACCACATTTGGCATGTCTTCATCATTCGTGAGGTTCCCATAATCGTAACAAGCAAACCAACGCTAGGTCATGAATCATATCAAAGTTGATGGCACGAGTTCTTCGTGTAGCCATGGGATATGGACTCAAGCATTGATGCCTAGGCCAATACCATTCGTAGTTCTAGACTTCTTCACGGGAACGTTTGCATCACTGGATGCCTTGCGTTTACCAGCGCGAGCTCGCTCCACGCCTGGTTTCTGCACCTGACCAAACAACTTTGTCTGGAGCAATGTGCTGCTCTTGGGGACAGTGGAGCGCATGTGATGCGGGGAGGCCAAAGGCTCTTCCGCAGCCTCAGAGGCTGAGAGGGATACGGTGCTATCGCTATCGTAGTGATCCTCTCTTGGATGCCCAACCGGTGTGAGGTACTGGCTCTTTGAGTGATTCGGGGTAACGGGGACGGAGGTTACGGAGTGAGTACCGTAAGCGTGTGTCTGGTTGGTGAGCTTATCGGCGTAGAGAAGAGCGGCGAGACCATCTGTATGTTCGCCATGGCACATATTGTGTATATCATTCTGAGTGCCCGGCGACAAGTTGCCATGGTTGAAGATCTGGGAAAAGTGCTTGCGGTTGTCACCAATGCGGCGCTTCAGCATAAGGTTCTGCTCCTCAAGGTCCAGGGAACGACTGGTAGCTTCATCGATGGCGCGCTTCGCCTTTCGAAGTCTTCGGTCTAGAACAGAATTGAGTTCTTCTAGTTCCTGCGAGCGCTGAACAGCTGAGAGATAATCGGAGTTCAAGGCAGACTGTGACTGATTGGGCGTCACGGGATCCGCAGGGTGTGAGCGACTGCGGTACTCTGCGCTCTGAATAATCTCAACTTCGCGCTTGGCGAGCTGATGCTCCACCTCGGCGCGCTTGACGGCTTCATTGCTAGCGAAAGAGACCAAGCTGTTTTGAAGTTTGAAGTGCAGCGCAGACATGCGCGATTCTCGGGCTACAGCTAAAAGGTCCTTGGCAATAGTACGCAGTTGGGTTTCGTTGGCGTTGTCGATTTCCTCCACGGTGGGTAGATTCTCAGAGGCGCCGTAGGCATCGCACAACGACTTGTCCATATCGGGCTTCACTAACGCAGGACTCGAGGAGCGCGAGTGTGAGCGAGAACGAAGCGGTGCCCCTGGGATCTGAGATGAGGGTGGAGGCGTCATATCTGATGACGATAACGGCGGGGGTGAGAGGAACTTCTTATCCGACTGGGACGATGGGCGCTTAGCCATATCACCGAGTTCTGGCGACGGGGATAAAGTCGCCCGGCGGACTGGGGTAGAAGGCACGATTTCCGCAGGTGCTCCCAGCGAGCTTTGTGAGTTGGTATTTTGAGACATGGATGTGTAGTTAGATTGTCTTGATATAATATATCACTGTGATGAGAGGGTTTAGCCGTGAGGAAACGGGTCCTCGCACTATTTTTCTTATCAGCATCTTTATCATACAGATGATTGAAGAGCGAAAGAATTATGTACGTACCAGAGACTGGTATCAGTCTTGAGTTCGCACAGACGAGGTATGTTGCCTCAGAAACCGAATGAGATAGAAGAAAGAGCAAGGGTTAAGAATTTCTATTTTAAGGAAGACAATGGGAGAAATCGGAGGATGAAAGAAGGGGAGAATAATGGAGTTCAGCGAGACCTTAAGAAGAGAGTTACTTCAGCTTGCGTTATTGGGAGGGGCTGGGAGGCTGGGAACGGGGGAGTCCCAAGGTACCCGCTTTGGGTTAGTCCATGGCCCAGCCCCGGTCAATTATCTAAGAATATTAACCAATGATATTTGAGTATTTAGGTTTACTAAGCCTACTTCAGTTAGTCTGGCGATCACGGGACGCTCAGGGCAAGTAAACACCCGGGACCGGACAAGCGCTGGGGGGTTGGGCAGGCAACCGATAAGCATCAAGATCTGTATATGATGTATGATATCATGAGGTTTTTGATGTTGATGCTTGTGAGAAATTTAGGGTTCTTCCATAATATCATGGGAATAAAATACACAGAACTATTGCAAGTCTTTAAATCTAGACTTGAAATTGCCCGTATATTAACAATTGTTATTAGATTGATTATCTATGTACAAATATCTAGAAGAAAGCACTGATCTACCTCAAACAATCAGGCAGGGCTTCTATAAAGATACTGCACAAGAACGCCTCTTGTTTATGACCTTAAGACAGTTCGAGGTACCAGCCCTTTTCAGCAGCGACTGCAAGAATCAGGGCTTTGGAATTTATATTGATACTTTTTGATTTTAATACGGTAAAGGTAGGGGATATATCAAATAGAAACTGGGTGAAAGAATATTAAGCCCAAAATGGAGCTATTTACTCCTACTATGTACTATTGTCTGTAGACTTCCGGGTCAGTCTACCAGCACATGCTCCTATCCTATATGTTGAATATGTAGTGGATGTGACAAAACATGTCTTTGTTGGCTCATACCTAGTAGTGATTGACTTGAAATCCCCCCAAAGGAGATCTTTGACATCACCGTTATGAGTTGTGCTGAATATCTGTTTGTGATGTGACAGTGCGCTTTGATGTATATATCCGACGGAAGAAGCTAACTATAGGTCAAAACAGTTATTAAATTAAAACAAAGCGGTGAGCTCTCATATTAAATAATAGTCAATGATATATTTAGATGTATTTATAGCAATATATGATAGAAGATGATATGATTTGTTTGTATATTTCTTACAAAATAATTCATGGATCAATACTAAAATCGATCGGTGCCTGAGGCAACGATCGCGGAGACCTTTGAAATGTAAACAATCAGATCCGAGACATTTCTAGCTTGGTTCGTCATTCTTTTGCGCAAAAGACCACGATTTTGACAGGGCTAAAACTGCCGCGAACTTTGCCCCCGCCCTCCACATTCTTTGTCCCGATCCTTATCATCGGGCATGACCGTCCGAAATTCTTAACGACTTTCTCCCTAACCGACCCAACATAACTGGAACGTCAATATGGAAGGACAGCCTAAGACATCGACACGTCCTGCGAGTGGTATACCACGTCCTGCAAGCGGCATCCCACGACTTACTTCAAGATTGCCTTTACCCACGACTACCGCATCAAAGTCGATCAAACCATCACCTTCCCGAGACAGACTGCGAGCCGACCCTGGTTTGGACGAAAAGAGATTGCGAAGACCATCTCACAACACGCTCGCGAAAAGACCGTCCTCGCAGCATTTATCACTGCCTAAGCCGCACGATGATCCTATTCCGGCCCCCAAGCAAGACGATATCCAAGGCAGGGAGAACGACATACATGTTCCAGAGGAGGCGAGCTCGACTGCTGGTGATGATGATACTGCATCAATCGCATCGGCCCAAGAAGCACGCGGTCGTCGTGGAGTACGCCCATCTTTGTCCGAGCGTACACTTGAGACACTAGCGCAAATTCCACCATCACCGGGTTCGGCGAGAAGGCAGTCCAGCTTTTTCAATGGCAGCAGCCCGGTACGATCTCCATCTCGCGCCCCGTCGAATGTGTCAAATGTTTCGAGATCGCCATCGAGGACATCATCTTGTGCACCACCTAGCAACGAGCTATTTGTACAACCTGTTTCGAAGCTGCGTCTTCCCTCTAATGCTCGTATGTCGACTGCTGGATCTCTTTCTCCTGTTCGAGGCTCGGAGGACAGCATGAGCCCATCAAGATTGAAGCGGCCAACACCTAGACACAGCATTGCACCGGGAGACGGTGCTCACACGGAAATTAGTTCGCCGCTCAAGAAAAATATACCCGAAAGACCGATTGGGAACAAGGATACATCAAAACCCGCCCTTATCCGCCCATCACCCAGCAAGGTCTCCGCGAAGACTGCTAAGTCCAATATGGGTCCCCCAGAAAGACCACTTCAAGTGAAGAAAACAAGAAAACCCCAAACAGAGCAGGTGTCTACCCTACGCTCCCCATCGACGAGTTCAAGATATGTGTCTGCTTCTTCTAACATGCCTGATGATTTGTCACCGGAGCAGCAGGCAGAAATTGAAGCAAGAAAAGTCTCCAAGTCCTCTAGTACGCTACGTGAGACTATAGCAAAGGCAAAGGCCGCTCGCAAAGCGATAGCGGCCGGAGAGAAGAAGGAAGCCCCCCAAAAGCAAGTCTATCAGGCCCCGCCCATCGATGGGCCTCTCGATTCGTGGGCAGGGGGCGATGACGACGATCCTTTCAATCAACTCCCCAACGGATCCAACTCTTTGGTGATGCGGAAGCGTGTACAGACAGCACGTGCGACCGGCCAGTTGAATATCGCGGCGTTTTCTTTGAAGGAGATTCCAAAAGAAGTGCTGACGATGTACGACTATGACCCAGAGAACTCTGCGAACTGGTTCGAAAATGTTGACCTTGTCAAGTTTAATGCGGCGGACAATGAGCTGGAGCAGATCTCAGATGCCACATTCCCCGATATCGACCCCGAAGAGTTCGACCCTGATAGCGATGATCGAGGACTTCAATTTGGGGGCCTGGAAACGTTGGATCTCCATGGAAATATACTCAAATCACTCCCGATGGGTCTTCGACGTCTGCAAAGCTTACGCACTCTCAACCTGTCGAATAATTCTTTGGACATGGCCAATATCGAGATAATCGCGGAGATAAAGTCTCTGACAGATTTGAAGCTTGCGAATAATCAACTGCAAGGGGAACTCACTGCCGTCATTGGTCATCTTCCGAACTTGGAGTTTTTGGACCTGCGTGGGAATTCTCTCACCAAGCTCCCAGATGAGCTCGTTGGACTGAGTTCTCTGAGAACATTGGATGTCAGTGAGAACAAGTTCACTTCTTTGCCTTTTGAAGTCTTCAGCAAACTTCCTTTGAAAACGCTCAATGCGCAGAAGAACAGGCTGGAAGGCACCTTGATACCGGAAAGAGTGAAAAAATTGGAGAAATTACAGTCCCTGAATATCGCCAATAATGCCGTCGTGGTCTTCTCAGCGGATGACGCACTTGAACTTCCTAATCTACATACTCTCCTGGTCGGTGTCAATCGCATCACGCATCTCCCATGCGTGACTTCTTGGCAGTCACTATTAACTCTGTCTGCCGAGGAAAACAAAATTGTAGAGCTTCCACAAGGATTTGCGGAGCTAAAGAGCCTCAAGAAGGCCGATTTCACAGGAAATTCCCTCACGCGCTTGGATGAGAGGATTGGATTGATGGAAAACCTCGCCTCTCTCCGGGTTTCCAATAACCCACTTCGTGAGCGTAAGCTGCTGAGAATGGATACCGATGATATTAAACTAGACTTGCGGAGCCGTTGTGAGCCTGATCCTCAGGACACAGATGACGAGGGCTCTGTGGCCACACAATTCACTCTAGCACCCGAGAATCCCGCGCTCGATGGCAGTTGGCAGATTAAATCCGGTGGGACTCTTGACAAGTCTTATTCGGAAATGACCGATCTTAAGGTGGAACAATTGGAGATGATTCCATTGCTAGACATTCGATGTCTCTATCTGCAGCACAACGAGATGAGCCGTTTCCCAGCCCCCGCAATTGGACTGCTCGCGCAGTGTCTGGTTGAGCTTGATCTCTCACATAACCCATTGAGTGGCGCTGACTTCTTGTCTTCCCCGCTTGAGTTGCCAAAGCTTCAGTCGCTGACTTTGAACGCGGCTAGCTTGACGTCATGGGAGCCTCTCTTGTCCAACCTGATAGCCCCATCTTTGACCTTCTTGGATGTATCGCACAATCGTTTGAAGGGATCACTCCCCCATCTAAGACAGACTTATCCAGAGCTCAAGACTCTTCTGGCCTCTGACAACCAGATCGCTAGTTTGGACTTCGAGGCCGTACAAGGCTTGCAGGTCTTGGAGCTAAGCAACAATGACATTGATTCGCTTCCCCCAAAGATTGGCCTGCTAGCTGCTGGACGCTCTCCTCAGAACTGGGGCAATGGGCTGGCCTTGAGACGATTTGAGGTGGCTGGCAACCGATTCCGTGTACCTCGCTGGCAAGTAGTTGCCAAAGGAACCGATGCAATTCTGGACTTCTTGCGAGACCGGATTCCCATCAGTGATCTTCCAGAATGGGAGCGGGAACACGAAACCCCCGAGGAAGAGTTCTAAGAGATGAGATCTAGTCGAAGGCCATGAAATAAAAAGGCGTGTATAATACCACCATGTTTTTTCTATGTACATATACATAATATTGCTGTCTATGCTTTTCTCGGGATTTTGTCATCTCATCATCAGCTTCTTTGCAGCTCTGTGACAGATAATTACATTCAGTTTTTCACAATTGATTTGCTGACCTCGTCAATCACCTTGAGCCACGTCTTCGACCATGTAGCGAACTTGTCTGCAGGTGCATTATCCTTGACCTTTGCAGCATCCCAGGGTGATGCAACCAACTCTACTGCTTGTGTGGCGCACTTCCTCGTCTTCCGCAGATACTCAGCAGAGGTTTCGAAATTGGCCTCGTACAACGCCCCAGCTGCCTCGTCGACATCGTCTGGGATCGCTTGCAGATTCAGCATCAAGGATTCCAGCTTCTTGACACCAGACGAAGAAGCCAACGGCGCATTTCCCGCATTCTTCAGCCGGTTGTTGATGATAGCTGGGTAGACCTGAGCAATGGGCTTGAGGAAACGAAGGGTGGATTTCTTGTGCTCCTGGAGAGCAGCGGTCTCTTCTTCATCATCCTCGTCATCATCCTCATCATCATCCCCACCCTTCTCCTCATCACTGAGAACATCATCAAAGAAACCATCGTCCCCTTCTTCTGGATCCCAATCCTCGATCTCCTCAACCGCGTCGCGAACCAGATCCCTCCACTGCTCAACGCGGCGCATAACAAACCCAACAACGCCCTTATTCGCAACATCGGCCGTAGCATCACACGCATCCCAGACGCGGCCTGTAGCAAGCATCACGGCATCCTTCTCGGATTTCGTCACATCGCTCTCCTTCCCTGTATCCTTCTTCTCTTGATCTTTCTTCTCTCCGACACGCTTAACCTCCAAAACTAGCGTCGAAAGCTCCGTCAAAATCGTCTTGACAAGAAGTAAGACCTCGGAGTGAAATGCGTTGGTGTATTGTGCCGGTGTAACGAGTAGGGAAGCGGTCACGATGGACGGTAGCACGGATTCATTGAGCTCGCGGAGCACGGTGCCGACGGCGGAATATGTGAAGGGCGAGGTAATGGCCAACAGGGAGAGTTTCGTGACTTGTGCTTTTAACGCGCTCGACGAGACCGTTAGGAGGGGCAGGGCTTCGGCATCTTTTGCGGCTTCGGTTGCAGTTGTTGGGGGTGTCGCGAGGGCTGTTTGAAATTGGCCGATGAGAGTTATTGTTGTGCCGAGGACGGCAGATAGTTCTTTGGACATTGTGAGGGTCGTGGGCTGGCCAGGGGTGGCTTGGAGGGGAGTGTAACAGAGAAAAAATTTGGGCGGTTGGGTCTAACAATTATCGCGGGGCTGATTAGGGCTCTGCGGGGTCACCTGGAATTTCTATGCCAAAGCTCTTGCTGGTTTCATTGGTCTGCTATTTGATGATCATGTTGATCTTGATTTTTATTTGTATATTCCACCTCTCAATTAAGGATAATGGTTTGTCGCTAGCATGTATCGACGTTCTCTAGTAGCTGGCCACTCGTGTACTTTGATTATGTCACGAAGAGCTCGAATAAACAAATTCTGCTTAATAGTCATGCATGACTTGTATTTGAAGGAAAAACAAATACTGCTAGACTATTGTTGTTACAAGGTTCTTTTTAAAACCACCTCACTGCCTCGAGTGAGCTGAGTAAGCGACCTCAATTTCCTTCCAAGGTTGGAAGGTTGGAATAGTCCCATCACGTGCCTCTATATATGCTACAGGGATAGTACACTTTATGATCTTTTGACGATGCAGGTAGCGGTATCAAGTAAAGTGCTCATAATTGTTCTAGTGTATCCAGCGGCCTGGGTTTTACTCTGGATTATAGAGGCGCCGTACTGTACCTTTGACCGTACGATGCCCTACGATATACATTGACTTTACATAATTTTAACATCCCAATGGCTCGCTAGTAGGCAATATAAGGATGGCACACCTTATCGTATTAATTAAAAGAATAATATTAGTAAAATACAAAGACAAAGCCTCTCAGTGCGTAGTCTGGGTGAACTCTTTGTTGACTCTTATCTCAGTTAGAGGAACCTCGTCTCCATCAGAATGATCACCAATCTTCGGACCTAGCACATTGGTGTAGGTCTTCGAATTATCATAGTCTGGCCTAAACGAGGTATCCATCCGTGACTGTTCTCCTACCGGGTTAGGATCATCTGGTAATTGATAGAAAGAATGCCGTTTCGGATGCTTGGTATGCTGAATGATGGCAGCTGTGGATTCCGCTGCCCCTGAAGGCTGAGTGACATTGTCCGAGGATTTGGCAGTTGTTCTGTTTGTACTTCTAAAGAGAGCCAGAACTCTACCTTGGATACCTAGCATGCGTGCCCCGAAATGGAAAGCAGGGCGGAGGGTTGGGAGGTTGGCGGAAACGATGCCGGCGGCCATTTCGATTGCGGTCCAGCCAACTGTTGGGGCAAGAGTGTAGGAGGAATCAGTTGGGGTGTAACTGAAGAGGACCGAGAAACGGTAGGCGGAGGCGAAGACGACACTGTTGAGGTTAGATTGGGGGTGGTTTGGGAATTTGGAAGATTAGTGGCTTACAAGAATCCCAAGCTGAAGGCAATTGAAACGGCTATCTTCTCCTCAATACGAAGTTGGAGCTTCCATACCTGTGGAATTGGAAGGAGTAAAATTGCAACATCGGTTGCGATCGTTGAGACGGCGTTGGCAACCCATGTAGCAACCTGATTGATGCACCGCCCTGGAATCTGGGGATACCATAGTTTCTGGACGGGGACGCAGATGAAGATGAAGAGAAAGGTTATGCAGATCACCCAAAGTATAACAAAGATTCCAATGATGTATGCCCATGTCTTGAAGTAAGGAAAGCGGAAGATCCGATAGTACATGAGCAGAATGCTCAGTTTGGTCCAAACCAGGTTGAACACATAGAGGACTTCGGCCACAACAAGGTACTTCGCAATCAGAACCACGTCCTCCGGAGGGATAGTGCTTGCATGAAGACCCATTCCCTTTTGAATCATGGCATAGATGAATCCGACAACGACCAGGTTCCATAACTTATGTTTCGATCAGAAACCATGCTGGGAATCGGAGTGAGAAAATCAAACTAACCATAGAAAAGATGATCATATAGTCATCCCACCACAGCTTTTGCGCCCTCTCATAACGGGCGAGTAGTCGAAGACAAACCGTCACGAAGGCCAGCACCGTGACTGAGGCTGTGGTAGCTATAGACCATGGCTGCAGACTGCCCTCACTTTCCATGTTTAGGATTAGGGATAGAATGCAGCAAACAAAGTCTCACGGAGAAGGCCAATTTGTATAACAAGTCCATTGTTCGAATTGGTGGATATACTTTTTCTCCACTTGACTTGTAAAAAAAAAGGACTCCAAAAATTACACTTTTAACTGACAAGCTTGGCGTGTTGAGTCTGAAGAGTTCGAAGAGTCTGAATCTAAACTTTTGGTAACCTACAGGTAAAGAATCCTGCAATTAATATACAATATGTATACAACATATATGAACTACTGGGGTATAACTGGCTTGCATATCCGTGAATAATCCACATAATTGCAGGGATTGTAAATTGGGGAAAGTTTTGCCAAGTAGAAAATACGGAGAAGTTCCACTTCTCAACAAGAAAGGACATAAAAAACATAAATACTAGTCTTGTATTCTAACTAGTATGAACTAGTAGTTACACAAATTTGAAAAGAAAAAAAAACGGTTATCAGCTCATTGTTAGTGGCTTAGAACAATCTTGACCAACTCTATACGGAATATTTTGTTACTAAATCTAGAAGGGCTTCATCCACCTCCTTGGGATTGGTGGCATTCAGATAATGTGCACCCCCTTCAATCATCACCAATTTAGCCTCCACAGATGAGGTGAAACGTTGAATCTGTTCCGCAGGAACGATCCTCCCAAAAGGAGTATCTTCAGTTCCCTTATCGATTTGTTAATGCATAAATCATTTATATCAGTAAACATAGGACTCACCTGTAGCCAATAAACAGGACATTTAATATCCCCGATCCGAAGTAGGAGCCCATCCCTCTCAAGTAGGCAATTGAGTGCCATTCGGACCTTTTTCCGGCCCTCATCACCCTTATACACTTCCTTCAATGTCTGAGTCCAGAACGCAGATTTTGTTTCATCGGCATGGGCACCAAACCCAATTCCTCCTACTAGTCCACACCAGACATCATCCACAATAAAGCCGGGCGTAGCCGAGGGACTGGTCCACTTCTCATAAAACACCATGAGATTGGCAGCAGGATCCCAACAGCCCTTGGACCGAGAATCCAAGGATTCATAATCCATGGAGGTTCCAAGGGGCATGAGACCGAGAATCTAGCAGCATACAAAGTTAATACTAAGGATCAGATTGGTTTGGACCAGCAGTTCGTTGAAGAACTTGGACCTACCCTTTCTGGGGCTAGGAGAGCCATCCTAGTCACGATCCACCCCCCCTGACTTGTTCCTAGGGCGAACGCTTTCTGAATCCCGAAGTGGTCCATGACCTGTAAGGCCATGTGAGCAGAATCCCAGTACGTAAAGTGTTCCGAAGGAGAACTGGTAGAGCCATGGCCTAATGGCTCAATGGCCAGAAGATTCATGGCATCCGTGAGAGCCCTATTGTTGAATTGATCACGGTAGAGAGATACGGTCATACACATCGAATTCATGAGCACGCATGTCGGCTTGGAAGGATCATAGTGGTCCTTAGAGAAGGCATATCCAGCTTTGATGCCACCTAGGTGTGGAACTTCGACAGTTTGAAGGGCAGCCATTCCGTAATAATCTTCGAGATGAATGTTGTGATTTACAATTTAACTTTGGAGGGGAAAGGAAGCCCTGGAGTCATTATACAATTATGCCGCCCACGGGGAGTTAACCGAGTTAGCCCCTCCATATTTTCTTGTCCAACATGAAATGATAATCCGTATTGGGTATGTAAATCCCGAGAGTTAGTGCAACGCCTTCGGATTTCATCCTGAATTAGATATTGATCTCCAATTGACCGCTTGTGGGGTCAGTTTCGACAGACCGATCGTCGGGATTGGCTTCACTTCTGCACAATTACTGACAGCCTCCAAGCCCCACGTATTTTGTTCTAAGCTGTTGAGTGGTGGGAGCTAGACGTTTTCTGAGACATGGCTGGCCAAGAAAACCATGCAGTATTGTGTTGAAATATTTATGACGAGGTCGCCACGTTTATGGTGATCAGAAACGAAATTATGGATGTTGTGTATAGATGCTTCAGGAATGTATTTGACCGGTCCGATTCAGCATTGTTATGGTCATCCTCAGATAGTTAGATCTCACCTGCTGGGTTCGAGACCTACATACTATGTATATTTGGCAGCCTACCCCTAAGTCGCTGGTCGGAAATGGACAAAATGTTTGGGCCCATAGAGCTTGGCGGAGTTGTACATTACCTAAGCAAGATTTTCAATATCAAACAAGACAAACACCTCCATCATTGCATCCCAGCTTGAAGGAAGCTCAAAGCTTTTTGTTCATCATTGCCAGCCATAATGGGAACAGCAAAGGTTCGCGCTCCTCCAAGGACGGCCGCGACACCCACACAGACCGTGGAGACCTCGCGGTACCTTCCCGACAAGACCTTTATCATCGACAATGGCGCCTACATGATCAAAGCCGGCTACGCTTCTCAAGCCCCGGCCTCCGATGAAACCGTTTCCGCCTGCTCCTCAATACCCAATGCTCTAGTTAAAACCCGCGATAATAAGATTGTCATCGGAGCACAGCTAGCGACAGTGAATGACTGGAATGAGGCGATGTTCCGGCGCCCAGTGGAGAAGGGATATGTTGTGAACTGGGAAGCAGAGAGAGAGATTTGGGACCAGTCTTTCTTTGATGGGAAGCCGACGGCTCGGAATCGGAATTATCACATCGCGGACCCGGAAGACACTACCCTTGTGCTTACTGAGGCGCCAAATGCCTTGCCCATTTTACAACGGAACGCCGACGAGATGGTTATGGAGGAATGGGGGTTCGGGGGATATGCGAGATGTTTGGGTATGGTACTCCGATTATTTGATGCAGCATATGATACCGTACTAACTTGAAGAACATAGGTCCAACCCTCAACGCATGGAACGAAATCCATTCTCTCTTCGGCGATCCTCTCTCTAATACATCAGACGCAGCTATTTTGCCCGCGGATTGTTTGTTGGTCGTCGATTCTGGCTATTCGCACACCACAGTGACCCCAGTCTACAAAGGCCAGGCTCTTCAACGTGGAATCCGAAGACTCGATCTCGGAGGCAAGCACCTTACAAATTACCTGAAAGAGATCGTGTCAATGAGACAGTACAACATGGTGGACGAATCATATATTATGAATCAAGTCAAAGAGGCGGTCTGTTATGTTAGCAATGACTTTGCTGGTGATCTGGAAAAAACATGGAAAAGCGGCCGAAAGCGCCAGAGTGGCCCCGAAGACGGAATTGTGTTGGACTATGTGCTTCCAGACCCAAATGCAAACAAGAAAGGCTTCATTCGACCGCACGATCCTCTTCTGCACGCCAAAAAGAAGAAAGGAGCGGCTTCCGGACTCAGTGGGGATGTACTGTCGGAGGATGTACTGGTGCTGGGTAATGAACGCTTTGCTGTCCCGGAGCTTCTATTCACCCCCGGAGATATTGGTATGCAGTCAGCCGGTATACACGATATGATTCTCCAAAGTTTGTCGGTCCTCCCTACTGGTCTACACTCTGCCTTCTTGGCGAATGTTCTCGTTGTCGGGGGAAATTCTTTGATTCCAGGATTTATGGAAAGACTGTAGGTCCTTGAAAGTCTAATGGTTACATTTTTGAGAACCCACTAACTTGCTACAGGGAAACCGAATTGCGACAGATTGCTTCTGCTGAATGTGTCGTGAGAGTACGCCGGGCTAAGGAGTGAGTGACCATCCATTCGGTGATCTCGACTTTAGGTAAAAGTACTGACATATGTAATAGTCCTATTCACTCAACATGGCTAGGTGGTACTCGCCTTGCTGGAAACAGAGAGGAACTCAGTAAAGTCTCCATCACTCGCCAAGAATATCAAGAATACGGGTCAGGATGGGCTGTTCGACGATTTGCTGGCCTTGTATAAGGTTCCAGTAGCTTGAGCAGACTTTGTGGAAATAAGTATCAGGGGAGTTTTTAATGGCGGAAACAGCATTTATAGCATTTAGTGATACCCTAGTTTTCAGTGTCAGTGGTCAATGTACAATTTTGGAATATATAAAAGTTTAGTCCAAGGCTAGAACACTGTAGCCTTGACATTACGATGTGATTATTCGCTCTAATGTTGGAATAAGCTGTGTGTTCTTACCTCTTCAGGAAATTCCCAGATCCATGGATCTATGCCTGATCCCTCTTCATCTCTTATTGTTAGGGCTATTAGCTTGAATCCTTCGAAGACATATTTATTGCTTTGCAAGCCAATGGAATAAAAGAAACCTTTAAGAGAAGTTGATTTTTCTCTTGATGCACAGACTATAAAACAGCAGCCTAGGATGTAGCCGTCATTCCATAGTTAACCATGGGACCTTCAGGAACAAGAATTAAAAATAGTGTTTGTCCATCCATGGCTAAATGCACGATCACTACATGGCCTGAAAGATGAGGCGCACCCTGCACTTCTACATAAGAAGACGTCTTTCAAGCCTGTACTCTTAGGCCTGGCCATGCACTTTGTCCCTCTTTGAAGGGCCCAGTACTCACCCCCTTCCAAATTGATACCGAATCCATGGCAAAATGCCTAAGAGGAGCTCGCCAATCCAAAAGCTCCTAGACTACTTGGAGCGAGTATTCAAGAAAGTTAACGGGGAAGTAGGCATGTCAGTAAACCTCAAAGCCAACCGAACGCCAATAGCAATATATTAACTCTTCATAGATGCACAGGGTGCTTCCAAAAGTTTCCAGCGGGCAAACTATTAACTGCCCCCTGCGAACACCAATACTGTCCCTCATGCCTCCGTCGAATGTCCTTAACAGCCTTGAACAGCCTGGAGATGTTCCCGGCAAAATGTTGCTCCCAAGAGATCCCCACAAAAGCAATTATCGCGGTGATGAACTCTCAAAACAAAAAGCGCTATATCGGTCGATGGGAGGAGAATACAGTCCCTCCCATGGAGCGCTTGTACTGTCCTCGGGCGACGTGTGGTCGATGGATCCCCCCAAAGAGCACCGGGGCACGGTTAGGATATCGTGTTTGTCCTCATTGCCGGGCAAAGGTTTGCTCCAAGTGTGGGGAACTTTTCCATCTCGGCTGGTCATGTAGCCACGATTCTGAGACACAGGCGACGTTGCGATTGGCAAGGGAGAATAATTGGCAGAGATGCTCCAATTGCCTGTATTTGGTTGAGAAGGTGGACGGATGTAACCATATGGTTTGTAGGTGTGGGCATCAATTTTGGTAGGTTCACGCGTGCAAGCACTAGGAAAGTAGTTAATACTAATTGGAAAATTAGTTACCTTTGTGGCCAACGCGGGCGATGCGAGTGTCCTCCACGTGGTGGTGAAGATGAAGATCTGGATACAGATGGGGATTTGGATGTCGACACATTGGTCGCTGCAATGGAGCAAGCGGAATCGGCGGGTGAACCTTGTTGGTTGGGGGAGACTTAGAGAATAGATGAGGACGAGTAACCAATATTTATTTTCAGGAAATGCGATCTAGATTAATATGATGCAGGAAGGGTATCTTGATCGAAATGCTTTTCCTTCATCCCGGACACGCACAGTAACTAGTATTCGTAGAAACCCTTGCCGCTCTTCTTGCCAAGCCAGCCAGCGTCCACCATGCGACGCAGGAGACCAGCGGGTCTATATTTGCTGTCACCAGTCTCCTGGTGCAGAACGTTCATGATTGCAAGGCACGTGTCGAGGCCAATGAAATCAGCCAAAACAAGGGGGCCCATTGGCACGTTGGTACCGGTCTTCATGATGTTGTCAATGTCCTCACGGCCACCAACGCCAGTCTCCAGACAGATAACAGCCTCGTTGATATAAGGCATCAAGATACGATTGGCAATGAAGCCAGGTGTATCGGCGGACACAGAGGCCACCTTACCCATTCGCTGGACAAAGGCAATTGCAGTATCCATGGTCTCCTGAGATGTTTGGAGTCCGCGGATAATCTCAACACCCTTCTGAATGGGGACAGGGTTCATGAAGTGGGTTGAAATGACTCGGGAGGAAGCCTGAAGGTCGGTGGGATCCGCGCTAGTGGCTGCGGCAATCTTGGTGATGGAGATGGAGGAGGTGTTTGTTGCGAGGATGGCATGCTTTGGTGCGATTTGGGCCAAGCTGGCGAATATTTTCGCCTTCAGATCCGGGATCTCAGGCACAGCCTCAATGACAAAGTCGACTCCGGAGAGACCATCCAGGGTCAAACTCGTAGAAATAAGCCCACGAGCTTCATCAGCTGCCTCTCGAGTGAGGCGCTGCTTTGCTACATCCTTTTCTAGAAGCTTATCTATTATCCAATGCCATGTCAGATGAATACAGGCGATTGCGGTAAACTAAACTGGATCTCGGCGTACCGGCAAACTTGAGGCCCTTATCCAAAGAGGCCTGCGACGTGTCGACGAGAGTTACCGGAACCTTTGCCTTCTGAGCAGCAACGAGGGCAATTCCTAAGCCCTAGAAAGTGTTAAATTTGCAGCGTGGTGGTATATTCCGTGTTACACACCATTTGACCCGCACCGATAACTCCCAGTGACTTGACCTCGGCTGCGCGCACTGGGGAGGTTGAGCAGAAGTTTCGGGCC